TTTCTTTCCTTGGCTGGCATCGAAATATTCTAAATATTTAAGTATCTATAAAGTAATTTCTTAGTGGTAAAGTAAAACTTCAAACCGACTAGTAGCTACCACATACCAATAATATTTTATTAAAATTATAGGTTAATAATTTTGGACAAGAATTATTACGTCGCCATTGTATAAATAAACCATAAATGTAAATAGATTGATTAATAAGTAATTATAATACTGCGTACAAAACGAATCAAGACAAAAATAAATAAAAAGTATAACGTGTATTGTTGTCACTTGGAATAAATATGTATTTTGTTATTTTTCGCTTTTTAGTGTAGTGACTTTTTATGGTTATTGAAGTAGGTTGATTTTTTTCTTAAAATTTGTTTTATTACCATATAAAGTCAGTGGCAGTGAAGCTTCTTGCGAGTGCCACCTTACCTATTTCTGCCGCCAAGCAGTAATATGAGCATTGCTGCATCCAGTTTTGAAGAGTTTTGAGTGCTGGTGAAATTAAGGGCACATGGGACTTGTCAACTTATGTCTGTGGGCGATGGGCGCTGTGGCAGTGCCCCTCAGATCTTTGCGATTTAAAGCTCTTACTGCTGTCACCGCAACCAGGCTCACGACGTGTTCGTCCCGTCATTTGATATCATAAAAATAAAAAAAATCGTAAGATCCGCTAGTTCGTGCCGCGGCTTAGCTGGCATAACGTCTGACACGGTTAGTTGGAAGTCATTGGTTCAAATCCAGCCGGTTTGAAGGATTTTTTTCTTACTATTCGATATTTGTATTAAGAATTAGTAAAATAAATATTCATTTCATGAGATCCCTGAGGAACAGGTCAGACGTGGTTAGAGATTCTGGCATCTGTGCACGAGCTGAGATAACAGCTGAACCGATTTTCATCAAATTTCAACTAATAACCATCCCTATTAAATTAGCCACCAAATAAAAAGAAACCGGTTTGATATCAGTCCATCTGTTTCGGAGATACGTTGCCCGTATGGGCACGTTAGAGATTCTGACACCCCTGCACGAGCTGAAACAAGAGCTGATGACAGCTGAACCGATTTTCATCAAATTTCGGCTAATAACGTCTCTATTAAATTAGCGACCAAATAAAAAGAAACCGGTTTGATATCAGTACATCTATTTCGGAGATACGTTGCCCGTACGGGCACGTTAGAGATTCTGACACAAACAAAAACACGAATAAACTACTTAATGCATTGACTTACAATTATATGAACGTCGGGTCCGCGCTAAAAAGTCTCCGAACTTATAGGGCGTTAAAATCGTATACAGAGCGTCATTCACGCTTTAGTCTTCGTTTGTTCGAGTGACAGCGAAGCAAGCAAAATTAGACAGTACTGCGATGACATTACAATTTAAATTCAACGTTTTCATCATTCAGCCATACGACGCCCACTGCTGGGCATAGGCCTCCCCCAACGCTGCGCTGCCCGCATTCAACGTTTTAGCTTTTTCATATTCCTTTACATGTCACTACGTTTAAATAGGTTGACTTGGGACATTTTTTTCGTGGTTTTTGTATTAGACCCGTCGTCCATTTATTTGTAGGGCAATGACTTAATGTCAAAAATTTTAACTAACTTTTTATCAGAAAAACCGTATAAATATTTAAACACATTTATCTCCAAATATTCCAAAGTCAGTGTTAATTAATGAGTAAGGTAATTATGTTTTATAATTTAAGAATGCAATAAATATCTGAAGATAAATTTGTGAGCAAAGTCATTAAATTGTTTTTGTTCTTTTAGTGGATTTAAATATATATAAATAAAACCACAAAACTCACGATAATGAGTTTTGTGGTTTTTTTAACACATTGCTGGCTAAACGTTAAACATTTTTGTGTTTAATAATTTTGTACGTTGTGCGCTCGAACAAATTTCACACAACGACAAATGGCGTTATTTTCCGGCCAACATTTTACGTTGCTGTTGTTTGTTGTTCACAAAGGCTATAATAAATTTTCTGTAAAAAATCAATCTTGTTGCGCTGCTTGCTGTTAAATAACTCTCGTATTTATATGCAATAAAACACGCTCACTTCAGAAGTGTTTACGGATCCAGCTACTTTTTGCAAATCTTCTTCTCGTATTGCAAAAAGAAATGGCGGGTTTTCAGATCACAATTTTACAATATTTAGTTTTTACTTTATACTACATTTTGAGTTTCTGAGTAATTTTCAGGTTCGTTTTCGAGTATATTATCGGGAATTACTAAATAATATTTCAGGATACTGCCCTCGAACATTAAGTAATATTACACGATAATATTTAAAAAATAAAAATTGCCACTGATTTTAAGTAGACAAAACTAACTAACCTGTAAAATTACCCTTCTAATTCTTGTTATCTTTTTAAGCCGGCTTTATATTTATAGTCAATGCTCAATAAATAAATGATACACTTTTATCGCATCTATATGTTTAACTATAAAGGGTAACGTTAAAAAGAAAGTTAAAAAGTAACCTTATGTACGTAAATTTATAGTACTTACGCATTTGAAATAAATGGCGGGTTTTGGGATCACAATTTTTACACGATTTAGTTTTTAGTTCAAATTGCGCTTTGAGTTTGTAATTCTTTGTTATCTTTTTAAGCTGGCTTTATAGCCAAAGCTCAATAAATAAATTATACACTTATATCACATTTAAATAATTTATATTAAGTTTGAAATATAACCTAAAATAATACTCATATTATAATTTATACCAAACCAAAAAGGTATTTATTTCAATGACGTAAGCCGGTGTAGAAGGTAAGCAGGAAATGCTCCAATGCTAGTAGTTTCCCGTTGAATATATACTACTGAGTTTTTGAATAAATATCTTAGTCAAGTTGATGAGAATCGTAATATTTGTAACCTTGGTCAGATAAAATAACGGCTAATAAGTAAATATCCTTAGAATAATAACGCATAGAATGATAGTTTCCTATCAAACGAACTGTCACAAGTGAGGCAAAAATCAAATTCATGTAGGCTAGTTTTAGTAGTAGATTAATTTTCGGTTTTAGTGAATATTTATATAAAAATACAAGTTGAAACGCGTTACTTCCTTGTGGAATGTGATGTTAGTATCTATTTTATGTTTGTCTGACGTATTTTTACACTCATTTACCGCACATTTCGTCATTTTTAGCTAAAATTCTGGAGCTGTTCGCGGTGCAACTTGACCTTGAGCACTGAAGGCCTGCCTGCTCGTGTAGGCCCTTTGGGAGCGCTTCAATTTGCCTCACTTAGCGTGTGCGGGCTAGGTTTCTATGCGTTATTATTCTAAGTAAATATCCTTAAACGTTGTTGCAAGTGACATTAGAACTTTCAAGTAAACAAACGCTGATTGTAAACTTCCACACGTGACCAATCTTTCTGTTTGAGATTCTCATTTGTAACATTCATTTGTATCACGTTTGTGTCTGTGGATTGAGAAGCGAACGTAAAGAAGATTTATTTAACTTGTATTTCTGAGAGGTGGTGGCCGCACACACAAGCATTTTTATGCTTAGTTTAGGTCTAGATTATAGGTTCCCAAATTTTTTGACTTAGGTGAGATAAAAAACATTCAACGCCTACCACCACAAGATATAATTAAAAACACGTATTTTTTATACTAACTTAACACAAAAAAATAACAATTTTTTCAAACGGGTACGGTAGCACCCTCTGGACAGCATTAACGCCCCCCAATTGGTTCAGAGGCCCCACCCTAAGACTTTTCAGCACCCATGCTGGCAGTAGGGACCCTTTGGGAAACTATGGCCCTAGAACAACACAGTCTCTCACAAAATTATGCTTACCTCTATGTTACCTCTACTCAACGTGTAAACTATTTCTAAATGTAATCTTTTTGGTGGAGAAAACTAAACATATACCTAATTATCTCATGACCTAGAAGATTGATTTTGAATTTTTAAATGCGACAGACGATATTCCCCGGCAATGGCGCAATCGGCCGGGGTCCGTGGCTCAGGTTCAAGAACCGGAGAACAATACGTGCCGTATCGTGCTGGATCGCTTTCTGCATTTACGCGAGAAGCGACCCGCCACAGAGACTTTAACCGCCTCAAGTTGCTAGCAAACCTGATTGGTGTTAACCTTTTTATATTATTATTAAAATGCAAAGGAATAATATTACCAAACAACGTGCTCACGTTAAAAACGCGTGGTTTATCCCCCATACAATTATCACAGGTAAAACAAACAGAAATAGAAGTAAGAATTTGAAAGAAGTTGTAAGCAAGGCCAATATACAAACCTGTATTTATAAACATAAACAGCTATAAAGGTAACTTTCTATATCGGATCGATGCAATATTGTAGTGTGAAACAAAAGACCCTCGAACCTTGGTAATAAGTAAGTGCGGTTTATAGAAAGAAAATTCAAATAACGGACACCATACTTGTGTTTAATCCTCGAGGTTACGGTTTTCAAAATGTTGCTTGCCTACTTACTTACACTCGATGACATTGAATCAAAATCAAGCAGAAAAAGTTGCGAGAATTTATGAATTTAACGAAATGTTTCTGTTGCAAATTCAGACACAAACTCAAGCGCATGAGGTTCAATTTGGTTGAGGCTTCAACCAATGGGGAATTTGAATGGAAAGTATATAAGTACGCTCGACCACAGTTCAGCTTTTTGCGGCTGATCACCATCAATTCGCAATAATTGTGCGATTAAATTTTGAATCAACGATTTCGCAACACAACTAATAATTTAAGAATTATATGCTAAATTCACAGATTGCTTCAGTTAAGGCTCGTAAACCCTTATAAAAAGTTACTGTTCGTGAGATTAATAATTTTCTTTTTCATTAGAATAGTTTTATCGTAACTGTATATTAAAGAAAATAAAATGAAAGCATCAATTTTGGTTTAATAAAAAAATATGCCACTAAAGAAACATACTGTCGTAAAACAACATAGTTTGAAAATCAGAAGTCGCAAATCGCAAGATGCCAAAATAAAAGGTAATAGTAAACTTACGCTAGTTTTCCGTCGACGCGTGATAGCGAGAATGCGCGAGCGCTTGTACCTTGTAGATATCGTGTCAAGCTGAGAGCGGTTCGCATGCGCGTGCGCGGTCAGCTCGCGCTTTGCGATTAATGCCGGGCGACACCTGCCAGCGGAACGTACCTACTTGCTGCACGCCCGCCGTCTCGTGACGACGCACTTACGAACATTTCGGTATAAATTTTCCTTTTGTCGATTCATCTAATGAAGCACGAGGATTTATTTGTTTTTTGTCGTCATAGTCGTTAATGTTACACCTTTCTTATAAGTTATATCAACCTCAAATCAACGTTTATTAGACTTGTTTACGTATTGTATTTTCTGTTGTATGGTTAATTACAGACTCGTGGGACTAGTCAACTCGTGTATGGTCGATAGGCGCAGAGGCAGTATCGTTCAGATCTTCTCTCTATCTAAATCTGAGTACCTCTCTGGCCTAGCGGTTACCATGCTGGACTGCCACGTAGAGGTCCCGGGTTCGATTGAAGGGCCGCGAGTTTGGGTGTAATTTGTGGTTGTCTATGGGTATGTCCGTGGCACCCGTGATATGGATGGAATTCAGGGTTTTCGTAGTGCGGGACTATGAGCGTGGAAGATATTATTATTATAGATATATGTTTTAAACTTACCATCATTATTATTATTATTAGCTATTTTGGACTCTCGCCTCTCTCAAGGCCTAAAATATTAATTTTGATTTTTTAAATGGTAGAGGCGATATTCCCCGGCAATGACTCTGTCGACCGGGGTCAGGGTCACAGATTCAAGAACCGGCGAACAATACGTGCCGTATCGAGCAGGACTGTCTTCTACATTTGTGCTGGAAGCGACATTATTATTATCTTTGCAATTTAAAGCTCAAGAGTGGCACGCAACTGGTACGGTCAGGCGTGTTTATTTTTTCTTTTTTTTATTTAACAGGTGACTGGACGAACAAGTCGTGGGCCTCCTGGTGATAAGCGACACGCCTGTCCATAGCAGTTGCAGTGCCACTCGGAGCTTCAAATCATAAATATCTGAGGGGCACTGCCACAGCACTGCATGGAAGCCAACGTTAGTTAAGAACAGTTTGGTATTAAACGGACGATAATTAATTAACCTGGAGGTGCGACGTGGAATAGAAAACCGAAGTTGTAATAAAAGTTTAGGGCAATGAATTTGACCCGAAATCAAATGGATGTTTAACAATGCCGGGTCGTATCTAGTGGTATAACTTTATTGCCGTCAGTGTGCGCTTGCGTGTAGAGATGCCGAAGGAACCCCTTCCGAGACGCGCGGTTAGTGGGCGTTTGTCTCAGCCAGATTTTTTAATATCTCAATCTACATAATCGAAATGTACCTATACGTCGAGATCTAGTCTATCCACGTTACGATCCAGTTCGCTTTTTATAAAATTGTGCCGTCAATCTATTAACATAAATATTTCTACACGTTAGCTTAATGACACGTTCTGTGCCATCGTGAGACGTCGTGTAGTTTCTTTTATGACTTTTTTTTTTAAGTTATTAGATGTTTTTAAAAGTATGAATTGTATTTTCTTAATATGGTCCACGGACTGAAATAGACAATTATTATTATTATTAAGCATGTACTGTAGTTTGTAACGTAGCTTCCGCAGCCTCAACACGTCCCGCTAAGTGAGTTTTTTTTTGTATGGTTACTTTTAATTGCAATCGACCGCCAGGCCATAAGCGAATCTTTTGAACGAGAGAAGACGTTTTTGGTGGAGCGGCCAGTGCCGCATCTCCCAACTATAGAACATGGCCTCGCTTAAGCCGTTTGACCATAGTTGATGGATCTAGAAGTTCCGCGATGGGTGGGTTCGGGTGGCACGATAGTCGCTCTTTGTGCTTAGTTTTATGTCGGTCGATCTCAGCAGCATAAGTGAATTTAAAGTGCAAAATTCAAAAGGAAAAGGAAATAGTGTAAATAAATCCGATTTGTAAAAAATATTTTTTAAAGTTCTTTATTGTGATCTTTTGAATGATAATCGCACAAGAGATTTCTGAAGACGTGCTCGCTTCGGCGATTGAGCAGAGTTAGGACGTAACGAAACAAAGTGAGAAAGAGGAGGCAAAGGAATTAAAAAACGATTCAAAATTTGAAAACAAGTGGCCAGGAACCAGAGAAAAGGTGATAAAAAGGTGGGATGACGATGGAAGGAGGACACAAGTCTCAGGGTGTCGCGCGCAGTGGCAGTGCCTCTCGGATCTTTGTGATTTAAAGCTCTGAGTGGCACTGCAACTGTTATGGACAGGCGTGTCGTTAATCTTCTTGTTAATTCTTCTTTTTTATTTCTTAGGAAAGTCATTTTTATTTCTTAGGATAGTCTTTTTATTAAGTTATATTGTAAAATTCTATTTCTGTTGATTTTTTTTTTATTAGAGAGCTTACTTATTTAAGTTACTTTATTTCTACAAGTGTAAACTTATTTAGCTTACTTCGTTGTTTAATTAGAAATATAAATGTATATACTTCTAGTATTATAAAAAACTGCTTATAAGGAGTTGTAGATCTCGTATCGCAGATTTCAGAGACCTGGGTATGACTTTGTAATCTCATTATTTCAGCCAAAAGACGTCCTCCCGCAAAGAATGAAACAACGATCCAGCGGATTCCCGCAGCCTTCACCAGATCATCAGTCCACCTTGTGGGTGGTCTGCCCACGCCGCGTCTACCCGCGGTACGCGGTCGCCACTCGAGAACTCTTCGGCCTTATCGGCCATCTGTTCTGCGAGCAATTTGCCCTGCCCTAAGTTTTGGAATTCTTTGGGCAATGTCGGTTACTCTGGTTGCGGATATCCTCATTATTTATTTATTTATTTATTATTAATAGACAAAATGTGTAACATAACAGTTTGCACCATGGCGTTACGACAATTCAGTTAATAACAATTTAAAAAGAAAAAACAAATACACACAACAAAAAGAAATAGAACAATAAAATAAACTTAAAATTATCTACTTACTAATTCATTCATACATCTCTCCAAGACTCTCTTCCATTCCGTCATCAGTCTCTCTATCCCAGTCACAAACACATCACACTGCGGCGATGCTGCGAGCAAGGAGTTGAGGCGTGCAGTCGTACGTGGAATAGGCGAGTGTCGGTGCAGTTCAGTGCGAGAGGGCTCGGTTGCCAGGAGGGGTTGTCCACCACCACCACGTCGCCTGTTGCAGTAATCATCAGGGACCCTGAACCTAAGGATCTTTTCCACTAGGCTCACACTGTCAATATTATTTATTAATACATTTATAATGAATCTAAGTAATGCGACATTCCTACGCAATTCCAATTATTGATTCGGTCTCGCAACGAAACTCCGAGCATAGCCCTTTCCGTTGCCCTTTGAACGACCTGGGGCCTTCTTATGAGGCCCATAGTGAGCGACCACGTCTCAGTGCCGTAATGACGTCATCACTGGTGTGATTTGTCTTGAGACATTGTGGTATTTTGGACAAAAAGGCATTATGGCTTAAGTTCCCGAACGCTGGCCAACAGAGTCGGATTGTAATCATTTAAACGTAATGTTTTTATTTAGATCTCCATTATATCGCACCCCTTATCTAACGTCTAATATTGTAGATAGAATTACAAGAATTGGAGAGGATGTCTATATTTTTCTGTGTAATCTGTTGGTGTTCCAAATGAACAAATAAATAAATATGTTTTTCTGTACGTAAAGAAGCAATTTCCTTGAGTGGCGCGATCTCGGTACTTGGTACGTAATCACTTGGTACTTAGTACAATGTAATGGTCTGGTGTCCGCAAATCGACGTCAAGGCGCCAATTTTGCGTGTGGTGGGTGCAGGGTAGTACTCGTGCCACCCAAGCTCCTCCAGCAACCTCCTCGGTTTACTGAAGACTTCGGGGAGCGACCTCGGCATTCCAAGGCACTTCGCCCTGTAGTTGGCCACGCCAGAGCTCTGTAGTAGGATGCATAGAGGGCTGTCTGTGTAAATTGAAAAGGTGTTTATTGTGTGGACCATGACCCGTTAGGGCGGCATTTAGAAGGCTGAAAGGTTGAAACTCTTGCCTTTTGAATTTGGTTACTTTTCGAGATAGACTGGCATTGAGCGTTCGGCGTGAGTGCTTCCCTCGCCTGTCTACAAACCGTAAGGTAGTTCATGTGTCATGAGAAAATTTTGTACCTTTGCGTATAGTTGTTCTGAACTATTGGTAGAGGGTCTCCGACACTTTTCTGGTTAGTTCTCTGCTGCGCCATTGCCACGTGAGCCGCTGTGTCCTTTAATCCACTGCAGAGTTACGTGGTTATGTATACATACCTCCATGAGTGTTTAATGGCATTCATAAATGAGCCCTGACGGGCGCGATTTAAGGTTTAATTCAAAATCTTAACGTAAACGATATAATTTCTTATTCTTACTAATAACTCTATTTCGCTAAAAATGTTGATTGCGTTGTTTGTAATAAGGAAGGTTGTTTTATCGTGGTCCCACTAATTTGTCCCTGAAGGACGCCTGTTTGTTGATGGGAAGGATGGCAGTGTCGCTTCCTAACATCATTTAATTCTACTCAATACTCAATATATTCATTGTCTCCATATGGTACATAAGGTCTTAAAATTAAAATAATGTTACAGATATGAGCCCTGTCTTAGGGATAAAAACAAGATCAGAGGCAGGCCGAGGCTTCGATTAGTGACTTCAATTGTTCACTAGCTATATACGTATAATAAAAGTATGTCACTGATAAAATTCCGATTAAATTAAGTTACAATTATATGAATGTATAATACAACATATTCAAGATTTATTTATTACGTATTAATTTAATTGTTAAAATTATATTACAATATTATATTTTGTCGTTAAACTATTCACTTAAATTATAGTAACATTTGTTAATTAGGTATGATTTCAATTTATTAAGAAAGAGTGAATACTTTTCTCGTTCTTTATGATTGGCGGGAGACCGTTGAATATCTTTACCTACATTTGAGTGGGGACCTGATCTGTGTAATTGTAGCTGAAATTGTGGCAGAAGCAATCTACTGCGTGGTCTAGCAGTATGTCTCTGGGGTGCTGTTATAAAGATTTACAAATCTCGAGAATATAAATGGAAACTGATGTTAAAATATTAAATTGTTTGAAATACGGTCTGCACTCTACATTAGTACATTCGAGTACTCTACATTAGCGAGAATACGGATGCACTTTTTTTTAAATTGTAAATACTTCTTTTATCTTCCGATTACTGGAGAAAATACAAATAAGTATTCCATTTTAATGGCATGCCTACTAGAGACCGCCAGTGTAATGTTTGCAGCCAGACGCTACACAAAAGGTCGTGCGTGGCTACATTTGAAAATCTCTTAGCTCCTCTCTTTTTAACTCTTGAAGTACAATATCGTGCATTTAAAGCTCAAAATATAATTTGTAAAAAGGTATAATCATAAATTGTTTTATAATTATTTCAATAAATCTGTTGTGCCTATAAAAGTTCATTTAATCGAGGTTACTAGGTTTACATACTTAGCCGACGCGTGGTTACCTAATGGTCTGACCAACCGCCTCGCAAGCAGACGTCGTGGGTTTGAATCCGGGCTCGCGCCTTTTTTTTCATGATACTAATGGGACGAACAAGTCGTACGCCTGTTGGTAAGTGACAGGTCTGTCGATAACAGTTCCAGTGCCAGTCTTAAATGGCAAAGATCTGACGGGCACTGTCACTGCTCTCATCACCCTGAGACATAAGTTGAAAAGTCTCTTGTGCCTTTAATGTCACCAACTCGTGAGTTTCTCGGAATCCATGTGCAGATTTTTTTAAATTAAAATTTACCATGAGCTTTTCGGTGTAGAAAAACATAGTGATAAAATATGAAGAAGAAGTCCCCAATACGCATTAGGCCAGCGTGACGGACTACGGCCTGAACCCTTGTAACCGTTAGGATGGTTGGTCGCCTGTGACATCTGGCACTGAGTGTATGTTCAAGAATTGCTGCCTATTTGTTACCTTATTTAAATAATTGCTACCTTTGATATATTCTAAGAAATTTAAAAAAACAATTGACCGGCCATTCTGATATCAGGATGGCTGGTCGCCACTTTGTTCAGCATGAATGGAGCAGATTCTCCAGAAGTATGTATTACCAATAATTGCTCCCTATTTGCTACTTTCACGAATTAAATGTATACGCTTCTTATCTACATTAGTTAAAAATATAACCGATTAAAAATTTTAGGAAGTGCCTGATAAAAGTAAAAGTTTTTAGTGCTCCATTGCCATAATATAAAGAGCAGGCGTTGGCAGAAAGTAGCAAATAGATAGCAATTATTGGTAATACATACTTCTGGAAAATCACCTCCTTTCCTGAACAAGTGGCGACCAGCTATCCTGATATCAGAATGATTGGTCAACTATTTTTTTAAATTTGTCAGAGTATACCAAAGGTAGCAACTATTTAGAAAAGGTAGCAATTCTTGAATATACATTCAGTGCCAGACACCACATGCGACCAGCCATCCAGACGGTCACGAGCCCTCGCCTGAATGGAGACCCGTGCCAAGCAGTGGTACGTATAAATAGGTTCATTCATAGATTCTAGTAATATAGGTATTAACAATAACGCACACACTCAACATAGACACGTCAGACAGTGCCATGGACACACACATAGACAACCACAAATGACTCCCAAACTCACGAGAGAAATAAATGTAGGCCATACAAATATTTCTCCCGGCCCGGGAATCGAACCTGGGACCACAGCGGGGCAGTCGTTCGGCCATCGAGGCAGTTAATAATAAGGCAATAGAGATCCTTGTGAAAGAGGTCATCATAAGAGGTCATAGCACTAATGTCAGCATTACTGTGTTCTGGTTTTGAAGTGTAAAGATGCTGGTGAAATTATATGCACATGGGACTTTTCAACTTATGTCTCAGGACGACAGGCGCAGTGGCAGTGCCCCTCAGATCTTCACAATTTAAAGCTCCGAGCGGCACTTCAACTGTTATGGACAGGCGAGAAGCTTACCATCAGGCGGACGGTATGGTCGTCCCGTCACTTGATATTATAAAAAAAATGCGCTAGCGCCAGCGCTGATATTGCTGAAATTAATAATTATCCAAAGCCCGAATTCAGCCACTGCTTGGTATAGGATTCTCTCAGTAAAAATACATTTGATTCCTAGTCATGGTTTTCCAATCAGATAGGAAATGGAGTAGGGTGTGCACACTGTCAATATATCATAGACACTAGAAACTTTATAAACCATTGTTTCACACATTTTTATTAACGGGAATGTAGAACAAAAAATTTCAGTACACTTATTACAGTTTTAAGACATAATATTGTGATAATTTTATATGAATTATAATAATTTCTTTATCTATAAATAATTAGTAACATTGTTTGCGATTGCAAAGATTTCAACGTACGTATAAAGTAACTTACTTAAATAGATAAGACACAGTACATATAGAATACAGCAAGCCAGTGCAAAAGTAAACCGCGCGTAATTAGGCACTCCATTTGGGACCTAATTTCGTCCCACTATGTCTTACGTCACGTTACGTCTATCTTGATGATAATATAAACTGTTGAATGGTAGATTCGTGAAATAGACCTAGGTAGTATTTGTTTTTATAAAATTAAAATTTAAGAATCTAGGCACAACATTTTTTTTTTCGTTATGAATATAACTTATATATGTAACGATATTGCCGAGCTACGGCTCAAGACGTGAAATGCTAAAACGATAATATGAGACCCAGAAAATTTTGCCTAGGGACGATATTTGCGCACCTAGGGCAGTTTTGAAGAGTTTGATAACTAACAATACGTTGTCTAGATAACCATTCATCTTGTTATATACATATAGAGTCCTATATCACGGGCGGCTCGACGTTTGCGTTGTGGCCGCCCATTACAAACATATTCCTAATTTCGTCTAGACCAATTTGAACAATTCAATAACAATAATTTCCTAATTCGAAAGTCATATCAATAAATCTCTATAGTGGTGTACATCGAGAAAACAAAAACACCGGAACAAATGTCTGTATAATACTTTAATCTTAAAATGTATTAGCACTTTAGGAAATACATATTATTTTATGATAGTTATAATATAAAATAAAAAATGTAAATACATCCAGCCATTAATCCATCAGATCGCCTTCATCCGATAAATCCTGAAAAGAAGGATTACAATTAATATTGCACTGAAAACTTTATCAACACTTCGTACGACGTAGTAACACGTTGTAACCCATTGACTTACAAATAAATGGACGACGGGTCTAATACAAAAAGCACGAAAAAAATGTCCCAAGTCAACCTATTTAAACGTAGTGACATGTAAAGGAATATGAAAAAGCTAAAACGTTGAATTTAAATTGTAATGTCATCGCAGTATTGTCTAATTTTGCTTGCTTCGCTGTCAGTCGAACAAACGAAGACTAAAGCGTCAATGACGCTCTGTATACGATTTTAACGCCCTATAAATTCGGACACTTTTTAGCGCGGACCCGACGTCCATATAATTGTAAGTCAATGTTGTAACCCAAAATATCGCACCTCTCGTGAAAGAATGGCATAAGTGGAGTTACGTCAAAAACATTTATTGCTCAATTAGATACACAATAATATAACGCACATCCTCTCCAATTCTTGTAACTCTAGCGACTAATATTGTGGGTTATATTTTTCTGTATCTAATGGAGCAATAAACATGTTTGACGTAACTCCACTTGTGCCATTGTACCAAGAGGGGTGCGATATGTGAAATTCAAGATTACATGTATAGTAACATTTATTTCATTCATATACACTTAGAATAATAATGCATAGAATGATAGTTCCATATCAAACGAACTGTCACAAGTGAGGCAAAAATCAAATTCATGTAGGCTAGTTTTATTAGTAGGCTAATTTTCGGTTTTAGTGAATATTTATATAAAAATACAAGTTGAAACGCGTTACTTCCTTGTGGAATGTGATGTTAGTATCTATTTTATGTTTGCCTAACGTATTTTTACACTAATTTACCGCACATTTCGTCATTTTTAGCTAAAATTCTGGAGCTGTTCGCGGTGCAAGTTGACCTTGAGCACTGAAGACCCGTCCGCCCGTGTAGGCCCATTGGGAGCGCTTCAATTTGCCTCACTTAGCTTGTGCGGGCTAGGTTTCTATGCGTTCTTAATCTAAGCATATACACATACAGTAAAACAAAAAACAGTAGGAACGTTATATGATTGTACGTGCTACTTATATAAAATCCACCCCAAACCCCAAACTAAGCGAAAACTTCTGAACGTAAAACTTGATTCTCTACGAGTCAATAAAACCATTGTTTGAATATTGTAAGAAACAATTAAAAGACATCTTTATAACTCAGAATGAGGCAAACATTTTATGAGCTAGTTCTGGGCTAAACAGTCCTTACTAAAAATATGAATTTATTTATTCACTTTTATTTTAAATATATTTGGCAAGTAGGAAATTGTTGACAATGTCTGTAATAAACTTTAATCTATGCATACATTTTAATGATCTTTCACGGGAAGTGAGTAATTCGTTTTTCACCTATTCTGAATAAATACACTTTTTGAGTTAATACAATGTTGTATTAACAGTGCGTGTATTGACGAAACTTAAACATCTGCATCCTTTTTTTTATAACATCAAGTGACGGGGCGAACAAGCCGTGCGCCTGATGCTAAGCTACACGCCTGTCCATAACAGTTACAGTGCCACTCAGAGCTTTAAATAGCAAAGATCTGAGGGGCACTGCCACTGCGCCCGTCACCTTGACATATACGTTGACAAGACACATGTGCCTGTAATTTCACCAGCACCCTTACCCTTCAAAACCGGAACACAGCACTGCTTGGCGGCAATAGGCAAGGTGGCAATACTACCCTGGACGAACTCACAAGGAGCTTATCAGTAAGATACTAAATTTTTTTGAAATTTAAAAATTTTTATATTTAAGCAAATTCCACTCGTAACCGTCATACTGATTAAATACTACCACTCATTGGTAAGGCAGATTGCCCTGAGAACAATATTAAAGAAACTCTAGGGGCCACTCCCTTATAAATATAACGTCGGCTAAATTCGTAAACTCGTACCTTCATTAATGTGAACTTTTGAGTGGGCACAAAAAGCAGAATTACTAGAAATAACTAGAAACTAAAAATATGCCTCAAAGAAGTCAAAGTCAAAGTCAAAGATTATTTATTCCATAGGTAAAATAAATTTACACTTGAAAACGTCACATTTAAGCTACTGCTCGTTCACTACGCTGACCTCCCTGAGAAGAACGAGCAAGAAACTCTAGGGATTGCTCTTTTCAAATAAACTTAAATGCTATGGAATACATTTTGAATCAAATTTGTGTGGATTCTGGAGCCATGTCGTCTTTCCATACATCTTTATCTAACACGTAGTCTTCAATTTTGTAATATGATTTTTCGATCAAAATATTTTTAATGTAGTTTTTAAACTTAGGAAATGATAAACTTAATATATGCTCCGGAATCTTATTGTAAAAACGTATACAGTTCCCCATAAAAGAGTTGTTTACCTAGGTTAAACGAAATCGTGGTACCACGAGTTTGGACTTAGCTCTAAGGTTAATATTATGGATATCTTCTTTCTTATTGAAATTATGTATATTTTTACGGGCATATAAAATATTTGAGTAAATGTACTGTGATGCCACAGTCATGATACCAGTCTCCTTAAACTTTTCTCTGAGAGATACCCGAGAGCCTAGACGGTACACAGAACGAATCGCTCGTTTTTGCAATACAAATATGGTTTGAATATCTGCCGCTTTACCCCACATGAGAATCCCGTAGGACATTATACTATGGAAGTAACTAAAGTAAACTAGTCTAGCAGTACTAACATCGGTAAGCTCACGTATTCTGCGGACTGCGTATGCAGCGGAGCTTAATCTGCTGGCCAGGGACGATATATGTGGAAACCACTGAAGTTTACTATCTAAGGTCACTCCCAAGAAGACTGCTTTATTAACAAGGTCTAACTTTTCTCCGTTTATTTCTATGCTTGGACTAGTCGATTTTACGTTAGGTAATTCAAATTTAACACATTTTGTCTTCTTGGCATTAAGCAATAAATTGTTAGCATTAAACCAATAAACTACCTTAGAGAGGGTATCATTAATACGGTCATAGTTAATGTCATGTCTGTCTGTTTTAAAAATCAAGGATGTGTCATCAGCAAACAACACTATTTCGCAATGGTCCTTAACAAAGAATGGCAGATCATTAATATAAATCAGAAATAAGAAAGGTCCAAGTATTGAGCCCTGCGGAACACCCATTTTTACTGGAGAACCCTATTTATGATTACAATTGAGACTATTTATGATTATCGCTTCATTTTGTAATAGTCTTAGAAATTATATCGGATTTACGAGGTTTCAAATTTAGCAGACGATACATTTCTTTATATAAAACGCATCGTGTAATCGATATAGCATTTACAATCTAGCAACACGTTTTGACACAATGAATAACATAAAATCGATTCACACTTCTAGCATTCGGAAATTTTGATATTAATGCAAAAAGAAAAATGTACTAAATAAAAAATAGACTCAGACGATCATAATTATTATTATTAATTTTTTGTCGCGCATCGGCCATAGAGCCATCAGCTAAAACAAGCAAGAAACAATTAAGAAACCCAAAATGTAATAACACTTACACTAAAATGAAAAAACTGCATTAAAAAAAACAAAAAGCCCGCCATTTGCAAAATATGTAATTGTTGTGTTGTGAAGCGATATTAATTATACATACAAGAAATGAATTATCACATTATTTTTTTATTCCAGAATCTAGTCATTGGAGCCCTCAGTCTTCGGCTTCGGGTTCTAATATACTCTCATTAGTAACTTCTTACAATGAAGTCAAAGAGCCGAATGAAGTTCATCTCCAGTTAACCTAATCAGTGAACCTTGTTTTTGTTCCCAAGAATAGAATACTGGAGTGTTTGAGAAGCATCTTTTGAACTAAACGACTTGTTAGCAGATATGAAAAATACGATATTTACGACTTCGGAGGTCTAAAGGTAAGCACTGTGGGCGCTACATGAAGACTGATTTGGAAACGGAACTTTAAAAGAAAAGAAGAAAAAAAGAAAATATATTGGTCCTGGTTCGGGTGTTAGTTCCCCGTTGTTCATTTACAAGAAATTCTCTAGTTAGTTTTTTGTTTTGTTACTTGAAATGGTCTAGGCATTTAGTATTAAATAACTGCTTTACAAAATATATACGATTTACCTAAGGATACCGACTAAAGAATGTGCTAATTGAATTGAATTGAAAAAGAATGTGCTAACACGAAAGAATGTACTTTACTCAATCATTTAAAATCCTAAAAAAACCGTTTAAAATAAAAGTCTATTTAAGAATAAATATCTAATTTTTCCCATAATTTTTAATTGGAAATGTTTGTCTTTAAGTAATACAGAGAACTAAATTTTGATTTTCACCTGCATCTCAGTAATTACTAAATTCACATTATCCCAACACTTGAAACTCATTTAACTACACGCTGCCCCGTCAGTCGCCATCGGGCGCTTGTCGATGTCGGATCTGTATGAAATTTTTTTCCGCCCGTTCTTATTTTAATCATACTAATATTCAGCGCGCGGGTTGCGGATCGCCAGTGGCGGCACCTCACACCTCACCTCACCTTGACACAAGCCAAGTTTAATTTGTTATTTCATCAAATCGCGGTTTCTAGTCACTGTGGCCATCTACTCATCGAAGTACAGTAAATTATGCAGTCAACGGAAATACCACAAAATCTAAGTAAAAAATGTTTAGCACAAATTTTAAGCTGCAGGTACAGAAACAATGAATACAAATTCATACCTTCTCCTTCCTGTATTCAATATTATGAAAGAATAAATGAGACATATAAAAACATCCCAGTGAAAGAGACGGTAACGGCAAACACATTAATTACTCGTGTGTGTTATTCGATCTAAAAAGTATTAAGCCATTTATAACATTGCTGTCTTCCCTTTTGTTTAATATTTACTGAAAAGAAATACAAAAAGGGCAGATCTAGGCTTTCTTCGTTAGATCACTATTTAATTAAAATAACAAGAAACCCTAAGTCTGTGATGTACGCGTCAGTGAGTACGTCAAGCAAGTCGGTATTAATAAAAATCACAACAGCGACATTTTACAGGTATTTAACTGTATTTAACCGTATTTAGACACGTACCACGCTCTCAGCTGTGTCCCCTAATGCCATTTCTTCAATTTCCCGGTCGATCTCGTCCATGATGTCCAGCGCTTCTCGATCTTTCAGCTTGTCTTCGACGGGTAGCTGTGTGTCGCTGAGCGTAACGCTGTCCGGAATGCTGTCAATTTCATAATAATTTATCTTTATACTATTAAACAGTAGGTAATGACGTTATTATAGTTTATTTCACATAGCATGATTCCGGTGACGTTTGAGATTTGAAGTTTCTAGTGGTGGTGATAGAAAATCGAATGAAAAAATCGATTTAATCTTCTTATCGAGATAATTTGTAACGAAGAGAGAATCGATTTACAGAAAATAATTGAAGAACATATCATAAACAACATAAGAATTCAATTATTATGTTATTAAGTTACAAAGATCAAAAAAAAGTCAAAAGATTACCACTTATTAATCACTAAAATAATCTTGAGAACTATGAGCGGTTATAAAGTGGTCAAAGAGTGTCTTAGGGTCGTATTACAGAACTCTACTCAATGCTCAAGTCAGGATTTGAGCAAACTTGAGTATGATTTCAATCACTGGAAATACAACCCTAATGGCAAGGACTTGAGTATGATTTTCAGTGCTCACTGCAATACTCAAGTCCTGACTTGAGTATTGAGTAGAGTTCTGAAATGAAGGAAACTCTCTATTCCTTTATTTCTTCACATTGTTTGAGAAAAGCAAAATATATTCCTCGGCAGGAACTGTCCAGCAATCCCTTACTTCCTGGCCTCTGCAATAATGTACCATATTGTTGCAATCGGCATTAAAAACGTTCTGATATAACCAATCTTACCGGGTTTCACTGGATGGGCCTGGCTTGTGCACATAAAGGCCTTGTCTCTCCGCCGCAGCCATCTCCTCGGCAAGGTTTCTGTCAGTGTTGCACTCCTTCGAGTCGGGTGGTAGGTTGATTAACTTCGAACTGTGCTCGAAGCCAAACACGTTCTGGTATTTTTCTAGCTCGAGTGATTCCTGCACGACAATATACAAATAAATGTCCGCTGTCTTGTCAAATAGCTATAATTAATTATTGTTTTGTGACGATGTGACCTCCTTACATCGTCCTCCCACATTTTTATCGCCTTTTCTCCGATTCCTGGCCACTCGTTTTTAAATTTTGAACCGTTCTTTAATAATTTCTTTTGCCTCGCCATTCTGATTTTGTTTCCTTCCATCGTCTCACTCCCTGCTCGAACGCAGCAGCGTACAGTGCTGTATAAATCTCAATTACGTCTAATTCTGATTCCTTTACCAGATTTGTAATAGCTACTACTAATCACGTACCAATTTTAATACCTATCTGTAAATCAGTATAACTCGGTCCTTTTGGGGTAAGTGTCTAATTAATATCTACTTTATATTCATCCATAAGCATATCCGTATGTAATTAAGTTAGGGAGTGTTTTGTAGTATTGTACCCGTTTTTATATACTTTTTTTTGTTACAGCCTCTTTTTTCTCTTTACCAACAACTTGTAATAAATTTCGTTTGGGGGTTTACAACCTTTTCAGTTTTATGTTTTAGAGCACCGGTATCTAGCTGGAAAGCGTGGTAGACGGTTCTAATCTCTGTGGTAACCCTACATGGGTTTAGAAAATTCACTAAAATTAAATAAGACAACCCTGATATGAAACACCACCATCGATAATATTACAGGTGCTACCATTGACCTACCAACAAATCGACATCGGGTCTAATACAAAAACCACGAAAAAAATGTCCGAAGTTAACATAATACAAACGTAGTGACATGTAACGAAATATAAAAAACTAAAACATTTAATTTAAATTGTAACGTCATTGCAGTACTGCCTAATTTTGATTGCAACAATTTAAGGGCCTAAAAACAACATATTTGGTTTAAACTGATAATTACTTGAACACAAGAGTAATGGAGGAGCCTTTCTCGAAAATATTAATTAATTTTTATATATATTATTATGTCGAATTTTGTACAAGTTCACTTAAAGATATAATAAAGAGTGAAAATAAGCATGTACTATAAGAAATGTACCAATATTCTAACTAAACGTGAACTCAAATATCCGTAATTCCGAAAACCGATTTATAATAAAACTTTCGAGTAATTTTGATGCTTTTCACAAAGACAAAATTAGCTTTTGTTTTGTACTCTACCTAAAAAAATACATTTGACATTACGAAAATTCGAGCTAACGTTATTTCAGGCAAATGTATTTTCTGACTTTTGATAGGTCATCCCAAGCTATATTTTGTTAGTTATTGCCAACGTTCAATAAAAAAATAATTTTAAAAATAAGATTTAGATCAAAGCGACTCTACAGTTTCTTTGTTCTAAATATTTCAATCACTTGTGGTTCGAACAATTGAAAATGACCAAGAAGTTTATATAAGCTCGTTGAAACTGACATAATGGGTCTCTTTTTATATTTTGCGCATGCAATGTGTAGAAAAAGGACAGTTAGCTATTTGATTATTTTGTGTGCTTTTGTAATTTACATTTGCGATTCATTTATATATAAAATCAATACTATAAAACTGTACAAAATAACACTTTTAAATGAGAACTATGATAACACAATATGTTTGTTTAGTGAAAATATGATACAAAATCCTGTTTTTAAACTTTACTGCAGTAAGTTATTGTTATTGGTACTGCATGATTGACAACCGCGCTGTCAGTCGAACAAACGAAGACTGTTGCGCGATTGACGCTCTGTATGCGATTTTAACGCCCTACAGGTGCGGACACTTTTTAACGCGAACCCGACGTCCATTTATTGGCAGGTCAATGGGTGCGACTATCAATTTTGCACTCCAAAGTAGCAAAATAAGGCATTTTTTCACAACTTTCGAGGTTTCGCGTGAGATATTTGACACGATCATTACGTACAAAACGAAAATCGCGTACTGAGCTCAAGTCTATGGAACTCCGTGTACTGTTGGCACACATTTAACAGTTGTGATATATCTTGAGAACGCGACGTATACATTAACTTTAAAAGAAATACGATTACTGTTTCTTTTACCCCTTAATTTGGGGGAAAAGAAACGTTAGCACAATTTGCGCGGATTTGGCAAATACTCTCTATTTAGCGAACTGATTGTTAAAACATGTAAAGCTGACAAATAAAGGCAAGTTTAGTGTATTTCAAATTCCAATAAGACTTTAATCTGTTCTTCCTAGACATTGACTTATTTATTAATCGTAAGTCAATGTTCCTAGAGCTCAAAATATTTGACACAAAATAAAGTTCAGTACCAAGATGTAAATATTGCATATCGGGAAAATCCGGAAGCTACGAATATTTCCGAATGCTGTTGCCGTGTCTACGTCTACCGCGTGTTACAAACTATGTGGTTGGTTGGTTTGAAAATAAAGTCTCCTGATTGGTCAATTAATTTCCTGTAAGGGTACTTACCTGGTATTCGGGGAATAAGTTTTCGTACTGTTCAGGGTCAGCCAGGGACTGTCCTGACTTTTTGTTTGTGGCACCAACTGACTCACGCCATAGCTTCACCACTTCAGCCAATTTGGAGGGAATATAAGATCTGGACGGAAGACACACGTGTTTATAATAAACAACAAATTAAAAAAAAAATCCTATTGTTCTTTCAATAAGTGCCAAATAGAAGGTGCTTATAGAATGAGAACGATGCTACACAATGCGTTACGTCGGCGTTACAAGACGTCCGAGTGATGGCACTGCGAAGTACCACATTGTTAAGTGTAGAGGGCTGGTTTATTACACTTTTACTTATTTTCTAATTGAAATCGAAAAACTTGAAAAATTAAATATCATAAACCATTGACTTACAAATAAATGGACGACGGGTCTAATACAAAAACCACGAAAAAAATGTCCCAAGTCAACCTATTCGAAATTTAAATTGTAATGTCATCGCAGTATCGCGCTGTCAGTCGAACAAATGAAGACTAAAGCGGAGTTTGGCGCTCTGTATACGATTTTAGCGCCTTACAAATGCGGATACTTTTTAGCGCGGACCCGACGTCCATATAATTGTAAGTCAATGTTATAAACGGATTTTTTCACATAAAATCCTATTCACGTGTACAGAAAATAATGTTCACTGGATAATAAAAATTATGGTACCTTATAGTGTTAATACCTGGCAAAGAAGGAGGCTTCGGGAAGTTTGTCGCGCTTGATTAGCAGGTTGAGACAGGAGTTGAGGTCATTGAGCGTGAAATAGGCAACGAAAGCGATGTTGTCGTCGCCCTCCTCCGAAGCCATTTGTGCTACTTCTTCTAATAGTACTTTATCGCCTGCACAAGAAGAGTCAATTATTTACAAATTAATACTTAACTGTATTGCTAGAGGTCGCCCACACGTAATCTACACAACGGACATAATTTGATAATTTGATTCTGAAAAACTCCGTGGCCCAGCGGTTTGTAGTACGGGCACTGGATGGCGAGGTTTCGGATAAAATTCTCGGTAGGACCAATTTCGAAAATAAATATTTCTATATTTGTTTTGGTGCTTCATCATTGTAGCAGAAATACGTTGTTTGGTATCGGAAATCATCATAGTTTATCGGGTTCACATACACACACTGACAGCACACACTCATAGCCCCGCACTGGGGATATCCTGTAAAGCGGTTGCCATGGACACACACAGACAACCACAAATTATACCCAAAGTCGCGAGATAATAAATGTAGGTCATACAAATGTTTCTCCCGGCCCAAAACCCCGATTCAGAACTCTTCGGTCGTTTGGATATCGTACTCGAATCAAAGGGCGCTTTTTCGGATACGATATCGTTATCCAACAGCGTTTACGGACTAGAGATAGAGAACTTTAAAGGCCTAAAATATACAAATGCATTAATCTTGCATTAAAATAAATTAATAAAATTTAAAGACTTTACATTAAAAAATAAGTAATTTCCGTATTACATTCTTGCTTTGTAAACAATGAGACGTTCGGAAACTTTCATTCAATAACTAAGTTCTGAACCTCGAGTAACCTAACGGGTGCGACGTCATTTCGGTTCGGTGTCTAATACGACAGTTTAAAGTTCGATTCGGGTGTTGTGAATAAAAATGAAAAGAAATCGTACGACATTAAATCGAACCGGTCGACAACTGAGTTATCGTACGGTTCTGAATCGACCCCAGGAATCGAATCCGGGACCGTAGCCGTCGTTCGTTTTTTAATAATAATAATAATTTATTGTACATAAAAATAGAACATGTTACATGGCATACATTAAAATTAATAAATAAAACAGGTTTTGTACAACTGTGTCTAAAATAGATAAAATACATTCCACCCCTGAACTAAGTGGTAACCTGTGTCTCAGGGGTTACAGTTGTCAAGAAAAATGTGAAACGGACGGTGCAACAGTTCCTACTTAAACAAAATAAAATTTAAGTGAAAAACAATGATTTGACCTTTGTAGAAAAAAAAAAACAAAATGGATTTAATATATTTTTAAAATTAGATTAAAAAAAAAAACGATAAGTTGCAGTAAGAACAAACATTTTAAACACACATGAAACGTGACGTGCCTGGAAAATTAAAAAATACTCACCGGTACTAGCGGCCATAAGTAAAAGCGCGCTGTAATCTTTAGCGCTTTGGTAGCACATCTTGGTGAGCTCTGTGTCGGCAGCAGCCGCAGCGGCCGCTCCCAGTCTCGACCACCTTGCCGCCGAGGTGCGGCTCAAAAGACCACCTTCGGCCGCCGCCGCCTCTTCCGCCAACTGCTTCGCTCTCCGCAGCTCGCCGAGCGACAAAGCCAACTCGAACTGATGTTCTGGCTCAGTGGATACCGCTAATGCTTGTTGTTTGAAACCCTGTCAATTTTTAAGTTTATTTCATGTCACGATGTTTTTCACGAGGGAGCGAATGTGACTAAATAATGCAAGGACTCAGATCGGCCGGGGATGAATCCCGTTTCCCGGTACTGCATAATTGTAACAATTTATTATTATCATTATTTATTTTAGACCCTCGCCTCTCCCAGGGCCTAAAAGATTAATTTTTATTATTGTTCCTCTCTTGTTTTGTTTATATGCGTGTCTGTGCTTGTGTAATAAATAGTTTTCTTTCTTTCCAATACCACGAACTTTTGAAGTCAGTTTTTTTGTTGTAAAAAGGTATTTATTGGCGGTGACCTAATGCTAAGTAATGTTATGGGTTTCCCTCAGTTCTGTTGTTACAAGTGTTGAGTACAAGCTTGCGTAATGAATTTTAAATTTTGAACTGGCAGTTTTGTAGGCTTTTATGCACACGAATGATACTTAGATTTATAATCAGAACATACCTGTTTTTCAAGGAAGTGTGCGACTCTGGTGCGATGGTCCTGCGGAATGGTGGGCAGCACCCGGTCGGCCGTCTCGAAGTCGGCGCGCATCACCGCTGTCTGGTACTCCAGCACCGACAGCAGGAGAGAATACGACACGATGTTCAACTCTTTATCGTTCAAGTAAAGTCTGTAAGTTACGGAAACATTATTTACCATTACGGTAAGATATTTTTATTCTATTTCAGAAGTAATTTCATTGAAATTAAGCAAAAGTTATATTCTCAAGTCTGATTTTCAAGACCAACGCTAGTAACACTATGTAGAATCCGAATGAAAAAGAAGATGCCTAAATGGTTATTTCTAAATACGCATATTTATTTTAGAATATTAGTATTGTTTTTGTTTTTATTATAATTCACGAAGTTAATTGATCTCATTGAAGCGGTGACTTCCATAAACAATAAAAATAATCTACGAAACACTGATTAAATTTTTTTTTATTTACTAACAATTTTAAAGAATTCTCTTGGTGACAATAGACAAATATCCGAAAAAACCCAGTAACCGGGTAACCAAAAAAAACCGGTTATCAAAATCACTCGGTTTTTGCATGCCCTAGTCATGGAAGATGCATAATTTTTGTATATTATTTATAATAAATAAATAGTTATAATTATAATTAATTATAAAGATATAATCATTTATAATAAATAGCTAAAGTGTTGCTTCAATTGAAGGTTGCCACAACATGCAACAGTTAAACACAATTAATTATATATATATATGTATACAGTTAATCGCACAATTATATAAAATGTAGTATAATATACAAAATAATATACACTTAAAGACAGGGAGAAATTTAAGACGAGAGCTGAAGGTTGTTCTACAGTTGAATGACAATTGCAAGTTGTGACTATACCGACAAGGATTCATCATCAGGAATCTCACTGCGCCAAGCATAGATTTTTGACGTCGTTTGTGCGACCATCCAGTGGCTTGAACACCGGTTTTCATGGTGTCGCCATCTCTGTGGTCCTGAGTTCGATTCCCGGCCGGGTGAAAGCAGAAAAACTAACTTTACTAATCTAGAGTCAGGGTGTTTGTGGTACCGTCGTCGTACAGAAAAATTTAACCAGGCTTAATTTTTTTGCTAGATATAAGCTTGAAATAAAGAGCTTAGCAAAATAATTTAAAAAATTAGTGTGAATTGCATTTTTATTTATTTATTTATTTAAAACTAAAAGTGTGGTAGATATGTTAAATTAATTCCAGCAACATTGCGATACTAAAAAAAAGTCCAAAAAGGAGCAACACTTAAACGCTACAATATTCTTCTTCTTCTTTTAAATGTTATGGCCCCATCGAAATAATCAATGATTTTGCCAATGTAAAGTAAAAATAACTATGTACGGTAGTTTAGTATTATTATAAAAATTATAATATAAATTATATATGGCGATTTCGCCAATGTTCTGTGAGATTGTGCTAAGATATTAAAAATCATAATTATTGCAACAAGAATGACTTTGACATCTGATGTGTCAATATTTTTTTGATGGCACTGGCCAATTAGCCAAAAAAATTACTTATAAATGCGTTCCATTTTGTGGGATTGCGTTCCGTTTTACTTTACATAGTATTAAAAATCCCTAACGATTTTCTGGAAATTGTAGATCAAAAACAGTTTGTTTTTAATTCAAACTCTTTTTTTAAAGAGTTTAAAAAAAACCAACTAATAGCCTGGTTAAATTTCCCATTTATTTTAGTACCACTAAAGGAACAACTCCTTTAATAAAAAGATTTTTTCATACAATATTATATTAATATAATAAAGTACATATCTTACCTGTTTTCTTTGGCCACATATCCGAGAATATACATGGTGTGATCAAGATGCGAGATGGTGACGATCTCTCCGCCGACGTAGTAGTTTATTCTGTTTAGCGAGTTGGTGTATATGAAGCAGTCGCCCACCCACAGTCCAGTTTTCACTGTTTCGTTTACCTCACCGACAACCTGATGACAAATTCACTAGTGTCATAACGTAAACTCAAACACAAATAATCTTTATATCACAGGTGAGCAAATTACTCTTGAAACTGTCATATTGATTAAACTGTAAAGGTCATTCGAAAGACAAATTCCCCTGAGGAAAATGAGCAAGAAACTTTAGGGGTTGCTCTTTGTAAATAAACATTTATACACACTTAATATTTACAACATTTATTTCAAACATCATAAGTCGAGACTGGGTAGTCAAGAGCGTGGTCTGGTCTAAACCGGTAATTACCACGGATTTTTATCGTCCAAGTACGCAGAAGCTATATAATACCGTTAGTATAAAGTTTTTGTTTTACTATAGTTTTAAACCACGTGAATGGCAAATTTTGAATATCGGACCCTATTGCCCCCTAAATAAACAACATTCTTTTTTTCAGATATATGGACTTTATTGTGGTAAAATATTTCGGTTAACATCGTATTCAGTTTAAAGTATACACTAATTATTAAAGCTTGCGATTAGACACTTATATCACTTCATAATTAAAAAAAAGAGTAATTAAAATAGGGGAGGTCCAACCTTCATGCCATTCTGATGGGCACTACCACTGCGCCGGTCACCCTGAGACATAAGTTGAAAAGTCCCATGTGCTTGTAATTTCACCAGACCCCTGCCTACACTGCAATACTGATGCACAGTAATGCCCACATTACTGTTAGCGGCAGAAACAGGTAAGGTTGCAGTACGACTCTGGATGACCTATTTCGCAGTGAGTTCTACTGCTACTAAATATGTGTATTATTTTATTTAGTTATTTAGTAAGGCTTACCAACTAAATATATATACAGATACGTTAATTATTTATAAAAACGAAACATTTAAAACTAGTATTATGCATGCATTGAAATTAAAGGTATGCACTGCATTACATAAAGGTAATAATTATTATTTTGGAAGCACGAGAGTGTGACTAGTCTATCTATACATATATGACTAGATCAAGTCACGTTTACATTCAAGAATTTATATTAATTTATTTCAAACAGCAAAAACTTAGGCAAGAATTAAAATAACAAAATTAAGCAAACCAAAAATAGCTAGATAGCTCGCTAAAGACTGTTAACTTCACAAGTAAAATATATTTGGATTACATTCCTGAGGCCGTGATATTTATCACTAAAAATATCATTAATATTTCATTAAATATAATATCTTGACTTTACCATGTATATATATTTTACAAATTTGTGTCTTATTGTCAAGAATAATTTGAATGCATATCCTCTACATTGTCGTTCAGTAAAATTAAGACCCAAATGCAGACTAGCAACAACAGTTTCAAAATTACAAATGGTCAACTTGGGGCCATATTCGATGTCAATTAAAATTTATAACGCACTCCCTCACTTTTTAAAACTGATAAATAGCGTAAAAATGTTTAAAAATCAACTTAGTAAACATCTGTCTCAAAAATGCTACTATTCATTGCAAGATTTTTTTAATGACAAGGAAAATTGTTCATAACGTCATAAAAAAGGAATTTTGATATGTTAACTATACTTATAAAAAATATGACATAATTATGTAATTTAATAAAATGACAAATGTTATGACTATTATTATATAATTCTAGAATAATTTGACGATTAATTTTTTTTTTAAATACTTCGATTTCAATTTGACATTCATTTTCCAATTAATTCATTGACTTTTCAGAAAATATTTGTTTAGATTTAATTATCATTATAATGATATTTTAATTAATGGTAATCAAAATGTGTATTTAAAAAATTGACATTGCTACAGGGTACATGTTTGATACTGTAAACTACTATAAGAACTGTTATGTAACAATATGTTTTCCAATAAACGTTATTATTATTATTATCCAATTCATAATTTTGAAAAATTTCATTGTATTTTCTCATAGTGGAGTAAAGTGGAGTCATGTTACCATAATTGGTTTTCCTTAGTTCAATTACCAAAAGATTTGTAATTATGCAGCCTGGCGGATATTCTAGGTATTTTTAAGTTTATTTGAGACAGAAGGGACGGACAATCTATACCGTGATTTAGTAATTTAAACATGTGTATGTGTATATAAGACTGCTACGCCTATAGAAGGCTGGTGTGATGATAAACCATATGAGTACACGTCGTTTATGGCAAAGTCCAGTCGAAATAATTAAACAAACGTACAACATTGCGTCGATTTGCACAACACAATGGGGCTTGGCCACTAAGTGGGAACTAAAAATAATAAACATAAATGATCAACACTCATGCGCGCTACGCGACGTTTATAACAATTCTTATCAGTACGGCGAAAGCTACGTCCGACAACATTTCAATCTAGCGTTCGGAGAACTGACCTTTTGTTCATGGTTATAATAAAAAATCCATCCTTGTCGTAAACATTTGCATATTGGTAACTTTCGTGATATTAGCATCTAAAGTTTTTAGTTATTTGATAAATGACACATGATATATAGTAATATAATAATTATAAATAGTAAGCGGAAGGCCCGTGTGTCAAAGCTCGCCAGGGGCTTTTCTTTAATTCCCCAGTTATGGATAAATATCATTGGTCAACACTCAATATTACCTGCCTGACTAGCTTATTCCCAGTAGGTATAGACTGTCACGTCTGTCCACGGTACTACGACACGGTATTCGACAAAATTGAAAACTATTGATAGTTATAGCGTTGTATTTGGAACATGTAGTTGGCGTGAATGTTCTTGTCAATAGATTAAAGTAGTTGATTTCAAATAATTTAATTTAGAATTATTGTTCTGTGGTGTTTGCTTCCACTACGTCGACGATCTCGGTAACCCAACGGTTTGCATTGTCGACACTGGATGCACAAGTCCCGGGTTCGAAATATATTAAACGTTTTTTTTTTCTTTTGAAGCGACCAATAAGAAATTCGAATCCATGACGTCAAACTTTTGACTCTGGTATAAAAATGATAAATAATAATCTTCTATTTACACAAAACCTGATGTCGTGACTAAGAGATAAACATTTATATTTAATTAATGACTTCTTCTTTACGTATAAATCTCAATAAATTTGACCACTTCGCTTACTTTACAAAGAATGTATATATATATTGTTTTATATTTTTTTACATCTTCATGACATGAACATAACTTACTATTATAATAATTGTGTTATCTTAATACTTAATAGAATCGCTTTAGAATTGTTTAGCTGCCAAATAATAAATTTATTTACCGTAACTTACAAGGCTACGCCTGGTTCGTGGGAAGCAAAGCAGGTAAGATTAACCGATTAACAAAATACGAGTACTATTTTCTTACGTTTATAAGTTACATTTTGTAAATCATATTTTAAGCAAACTAAAAACCAGACACAAAAATCCGACAACAAACGCAAGGAAAACTTCGTGAGGTCCGCTGGTTCGTTCCGTAGCTTAGTTGGCAAAGCGTCTGGCACGGTTTGCTAGAAGACGTCGGTTCAAATCCGGCCGGATCGAAGGGATTATTGTCTTAATAATTATTTAATAATTATAACAAACTAGTGGAGTAATTTAACAAAAAAATTATTGAATATCGTGGTGGTGAATTCCTAAAACACTTACCAGCTATATGTGATCTAGAACGTACCTCGAAGGCGTCCTCGATGCCATCTTCACTGACGTTAGAGTTAGTTTCCCGTGCACGATTAACCACGGCGGCATTGTATTTCAACACGTAGTACGCCTCGTCTGTCGCCAGACACACCAAGTTGCCGCTCTCCGACCAGTACACGTGACGCGGCTGGATCTCGATACTGCAAGAAACGGTGATGTCAGCATTGATTCCACTTACAAATTCGACAGGTGCGACTCGACGAATCGCGAAGCACAACATCATCGAGAACATAACCAGAAAAAGACACAAATTGTCATTTAATTTGTTTGATAACTATTCTGCCAAATAATTTCGGTGACAACTGCGCTCCGATTGGCCAGCCCGAATCCGAAACCATTGACGGGTGTCGTCAATTGTTTCACTTAAAAATGACCAGTTTAATTTGAACTTTACTATAATGGACGTACTTTGACAAATTACATATATTTAATATATAATTACTGATGAAATGTGATTCCGTTTGTTTTGTAATTAGATGTTTTGCTGTTTTGCCCACATCACCGAATGGAACAGCACTTCATTGTTAAGGATATTATCTTTATTACAATAAATATAAAATATTTTTGGAATATACGGAGACGTACACAAAGGTCAGTTATTGGCGCTATACTATTTCAGCTTTCTAATTTGTGATTTCAGTGCCAACGAGAGTTGATATTTAAAAGTGATATAAGACCCATTTACCTGATGAGTTACCAGTGATGGATGGCCCTTATTTCGTTTCTATTTCTGGTTATATACTCGATGCACAACATGCACTTAATTTTTTTTTCGCCACGTGTGCGTGAATAGCAGTGTCAGTACAAGTAACGGCTAAATTAAACACTGCATACTTATGCGAAGGAAAAAACAATATACTTTTCAAAAACAGAGAAAGAGGTGACACATTTTCATTTTTTCTTACAAACAAGTCGTGCGCCTGATGGTAAGCGACACGCCTGTCTATAACAGTTGTAGTGCCGCTCAGAGCTATAAATTGACAAGTCCCATATGCCTGTCTAGTCAGCACCTTTACCCTTCAAAACCACAGTACATTTACTCAAATATTTTATATGCCCGTAAAAATATACATAATTTCAATAAAAAAGAAGACATCCAAACTCATGGTACCACGATTTCGCTTAACCAAGGTAGACGACTCTTTTATGGGGAACTGTATACGTTTTTACAATAAGATTCCGGAGCATATATTAAGATTATCATTTCCTAAGTTTAAAAATTACATTAAAAATATTTTGATTATAAAGTCATATTACAAAATTGCAGACTACGTGTTAGATAAAGATGTATGGAAAGACGACGCTGCTCCAGAATCCACACAAATTTGATTCAAAGTGTATTCCATAGCATATAAGTTTATTTGAAAAGAGCGATCCCTAGAGTTTCTTGCTCGTTCTTCTCATGGAAGTCAGCGTAGTGAACGAGCAGTAGCTTTTCAAGTGTAAATTTATTTTACTTATGGAATAAATGATCTTTGACTTTGACTTTGAAAAAACCGGAATGATGTGATGCCCACATTACTGTTTGGCGGTAGAAATAGCTAAGGTGGCAGTACTACCCTAGACGAACTCTTTCACAAGGAGCTCTACTGCTACCTTAAAGAAAACTTATACAATTGTTGTCTTATATTAACTAAAAAAACAACGTGTTGCTAGATTTAAAAAATTCAATAAACGCTATTTATAAAGTACCATCATTGAATCATTCGCTAATGGGTAAACATATCTTCACAGAGATTGCATTATTGACTGCCTCTGTGGTCGAACGTATACCATGCTGGTCTGCTACGTAGAGGTCCCGGGTTGGATCCTCGAGCCGGGAGAAATGTTTTTACATTTATTTCTCTCGTGAATTTGGGCGTAATTTGTGGTTGTCTAGTAGTGTGTGCGTTATTTATTATTACGTATTTATGGGAAGTCACACATACTTATCGATACGCAATCAGAAAAATATTTATGTCGTAATAAGAGGGGGAAAAACGTTGTACCGATAAATATGGTGATTCCATAACAAAGAAGATAGCATTGAATTTATCAACCCCCTCCATAAGCAGTAACATATATAATACGAGGTTATTTTTAAAATAATAAAAACCTCTCACAGCTATATTACTTACTTGACTTTTAACAAACCATAATAAATTTACCAAAAAATATGCTTTTAAGTTGTTGCTGTAATATATGAGAGTTTTTAAATCTGTATTTGGTAATAACTTCAAACTTGCAAACGTCCTCTCCGACAACCCTATTCCAAGCGTTACGCTTCCACATTAATGCTGATCAACAGCACTATGTTACCCTCTAGACCACAGGTTCCCAAATATTTCACTCACCGCCCTTAGGCAAGGTAAAGAAATTTCAATGCCTACCTCCACAAAAAATTATTGAAAACACCTATTTATTAACTTTCAACTTAACACAAAAAATCAAAATGAAAAATAATTTACGTATATGTAGTGTAGTTTATATAGATAATTCAGGTAGCACTCCGTGGACACCATCAACGCCCCAAATAGCTTCCGGAGCCCTACCGCCCGCCTAGGACTCTTCAGCGCCCACTGGTAGGGACCACTTTGGGAAACTATACTCTAGACAATAGCCGAAAATCCGTGTGTTGCTTTGTGGGCAACACTTGCTTAGAGCTAAGGTTTTTCTTTAATTAGGAGATGTAAATTGTTTATTAAGTACATTTATTTGATTTCTTTCTTTTTTCTTACTTCGGTTTGCTTTGTTTTTCTTACTTTGTAACTGACTTCAACAGAAGGAAGTGCTCACTTCGATTGTATTTCTTTTTTGTATGTAAAAATGTTTGTATGTTACGCGATAGCTCTTATATAATTTTTGTAGCGATAATTTGTGGACCGATTTTGATGATTTTTGATTTTTGATGATTCTTGTTTTGTTGGAAAGAGGGTACCTCAGTAGTTGTCCTATTTGAATTTGAAGAAAATACTCCACCTCTAAAGATGGCAAACTAGGGGATGAACTGTACTAAGATTATTATTTCATATTGTAATGTGTGCTTGTGGAAATTCAATAAACGTGTAGCAGTAGAGCTTCTTGTAAAAGAGTTTGTTAAGGGAAGTACTACCATCTACCTATTTCTGCCGCCAAGCAGTAATGTCAGCATTACTGTGTTCCAGTTTTGAAGGGTAAGATACTGGTGAAATTACAGGCATATGGGACTCGTCAACTTATGTCTCAGGATGACGGGCGCAGTGGTAGTGCCCCTCGTATCTTTGCGATTTAAAGCTTTGAATAACACAGTAACTGTTACGGACAGGCGTGTGCGAAAAAGCTACAGATTGTTTTTATACAGATTGATTTTTTTTATACAAAATCATTGAAATAATATTTTATTACAATACCAAAGAAAATAGAAAGCTTATCAGCAACAACCCTAGTTACAATATGACAATCGCTAAATACAATATGACAAACTACAAAAATGTGGTCAAATCACTGTTTTGCCACTTAGCATTTTTTTAAGTACCTTTTATTGATTTTTACATGGTAACAGACGCGATTTACACGTCGATGTAATTGTTAAATCTAAGCGCGTAGGAATTACATTGACAGTGACAATGCGTATCAAATCTTTGCGATTTTTTTTTATAGGTACAGTGGTATTACTGGATGGCACTGTTAGGGATAGGCGTGTAGCTTACCATCAGACGCACGATTTGTACGCCCCGTCTCTTGATATAGAAATAAAAATATATCTATTTATACATTGACTTACAATTATATGGACGTCGGGTCCGCGCTAAAAAGTGTCCGCACTTGTAAGGCGCTAAAATCGTATACAGAGCGCGTCACTCCGCTTTAGTCTTCATTTGTTCTACTGACAGCGCGATACTGCGATGACATTACAATTTCAATTTCGAATAGGTTGACTTGGGATATTTTTTTCGTGGTTTTTGCATTAGACCCGTCGTCCATTTATTTGTAAGTCAATGTATTTATATGACTAATGACTATGGAGTGGAATTCCCTGTCTTCAGACTTGTTTTCTGAACGCTATAACTTGGGCCTTTTCAAGGTGAGATAGGCATTATTTAGGTGTGCATGATCCATCGTCACTTTCCATTAGGTGAGATGGAGGTAAAATGCGCGCTTATATTTTATATATAAAAAAACACCCACCCCCTCCTGCGTTTCGCATCGAACTGGTGTTTACGCTAGCGCTTTCTTTTGTTACCGCACAGAGTTAAGACTCTTTAGAGTGATCTATTTAAATATTTTTATTTTTGGATGAAAGTAAAATCTGATGAATTATTAAAAGTAATGGAACAAAAGTTGGTAACACACATAGAGCGGGTGCGGGTCGGGTGCGGGTCGGGCGCGAGTCGGGTGCGGGTCGGGTGCGGGTCGGGCGCGAGACGGGCGCACGCGCTCCGACCCGCTCCCACTCTGTGTTTTACGCTTAAAGGAACATCTCAGTTATTCAAAGAAATCCCTTTATGGGATACGCCCGCCTTTATTTTTTAAATTATAATTCGTTTTAATAAAACGTTTACACACATATAATAAAACAAATACAATAAACATTAACAAACAATGCATTTTGGTTTTTTTTACTCTTTTAGCAAAAATCGCAATAGGCCTTTTATGCACACTTCATTCGCAATATGCAAATTACTTACACTACATTCAATTTATATTAATCCCCACGCATATGAAAATCTACAAACCTTTGGTAGTCGGTTCTGAAATATACTAACAACAAACCGTAACAAACTGTCACTTCTCTATCAAACTGTCGTAACGAGAAATGTTTTCAATATAATTACGATTTAGCATTCCTAGCCTTTAGCTGTAAATTTCGTATTACACTGTAAATTATATACGCATAAAGAATCTCATTTACGACAAAAATATCGGGTACAACAGTTACTGACTAGATGGACGAAATGTAGCAAACCATAATTCTCAATATTCAAAGCGTATCATTTGTATCACGCATACAATGTTCAATCGCTAGCAATTTAAATAAAAATCTGTTACATAACATACCGTCGGATGAGCTCCAGATGCTCCCAGTCGTAGAAAGAGAACGCCATCCCGCTTATAGACTTGACGCCAAGCATGAATCCGCCGTAGATTCCTGCGCAATACCAACAAATTAGGAATGGGCATTACAGATCGCATATAGTTATTGAATCTATATACTGTGGCAATATCGAATATCCGATATCGTGTATCTTGGAAAGTATACCACCACGAAATCGTATATTCCCCAAACTATGGCCCGCATTACTCTTGTAAAATTATATCCAATAACATAATAGTTTCGAAATCTGATTACAAAAATATCAATACAAAGTTTCCATAACATATTCAGAAAAAGCTATATTACCCATTCCTACAACAAATGTTACAAATCAATTTAAACATGTTTCAACAAGTTTTTACAAAACTTACCTTCAGCACCGTATTCAGGCTTGAAACTCTTTCTCTCCTTGAAATTTTTGAACACTTTTATTGTGCTCGAGTTCTCCAATGTGGCGTATTCTGAGCTGTCGAAGGCCCATACGAATTCCTGGGCAGTTCCAAAAGCCTTGTTCCTCAAGGCCATAGCGGTGTAAATGATAAACTCTCCGTCGCCGCAGACAACAACGAATCTGCCGTTGGGGTTGTGTGCTATAGTTTGGGGGTATATTTCACATGATCCCATGTCCTTGGCGACCACTGGCACACGCTCGCCGTCTTTTATTTCCGTACCTGTAAAATAAAAAAGTCAGCCGTCTCATCATTGTCATGTCACGTCTTACATTACATAGTCAAATATGGATTGCTACTTTATTCTCACCTTCGGGTAAAGCTTTCAAGTTAACCTGCTGCATTTCGGAATGTTTAGCCCAAATAATTTTGCCACCGTTCACGTCCATTGATATGGCTGGCTCTTCTCTTCCAACTTTGATCATAATGGTCCCTTCGTCGTATCTGCAGAATTAATTTATCATATTATAATTGTTGAAAATAGCATGTTTACAGCAATATGAAAAACGCAAAGTATGCTTACCCGATAGCCACATTGTTAGAGCCGTGCATGGACGAGATTGTCCAAACTCTTTCAAATCCATAGTTTAGAGAAGACTCCAGACGGTATGTGCCAGCATGCCATATCCTGACAGTGCCATCCTCTGCTCCAGTGAGCAAGATCGGAAGCTCCGGATGGAATGACACGGCCGACACATTCTGCATGTGAGCTACAAGAACATTGAATGTACAAATCATCTTATTATCCATCATGAAAACTTAGCAAGGACTCAAAATTGATCATAAACTCATAGAAGTTTTAAAAGCCAACATAAGGGTAGAAGTGAAGTTCAGGTACTTACCCTCCAAAGTCTGAACACAGGTTTTGTTTTGGTAGTCCCATATTTTGACAAGACGGTCATCAGCCCCACTTATCAAGTATGGTTTGTCACCTCCATGATAGTAGTCTACGCAGTTGACACCCTTTTCGTGACCTTCTAGAGTGAAGTTGGAAATGGACGACCCTAGCTGCCAGACCTGCCCAGTTTGTTACAAATGTTAGTGGAAAATCTTTATTACATCCAATAATAAATCACAATGTCTTAATAAAATCATAATAACGTAAAAGTTATAGAAGTAATAAATGACAGTAAAAAACTCTACCTTAACAGTTGTATCTAAACTGGCACTAGCAAATGTGTTGTTGTCTTTTGGATTGATAACAATCTGCATTACATAGTGAGTGTGACCTTCAAAGACTTGTTGGCAAGCCCAGCTGCGATCCCAGTTCCATAATTTTATAAGCAGGTCATCTGAAATCAAACACTACTTCTTAATTCTCGATCTTAACGACATGAAATACAATAAACTTATCAAGGTCCTTTCATGTACATTAGCACACAAACTAAGCTAAACTAATCAAGCTATTTGAGCGCCATAAAATATGTTCAAAAGCAAGACATTCCGTGAGTAGACACACCACTAGCAGCAATTTACCACTGACTACTTCGCTACTTACCACTACTGGTCAAAATGTAAGGTTGTGTAGGATGGACAGCAATGCACCTCACATAATCTGAATGAGCTTCAAAAGCATGTACCCTTTCTAGTGTGTTGTAGTTGAAGACACGTATTTGCATGTCATCAGAACCTGTTATAACCCAGTTCTTTCTGGGGACGAACTTTGCAGATCGCACCGGCAAGTCACATACCTGTAATACAACGCAAAGGACATTACCACAAATTCCTTTTATTCCACATGTTAACATCGACTTTTAAGAACAAAAACACAAAATGTGAGTCCAATTGTTTGGAAAAAGTAGGGTTACATCATTTTACAACATTGTTGCATCATGAATACTATTTAGTAACTTTATGGAGAAGGTGGTTGGAAAAAGTATTTGAAAATTGTGGCATTATTAATAAATCCTCATGGGGTATGTATAATATGATGTCCCTCCATGTTAAGAGCAAGTAAGTAAGTTCTAATTGCATAATCTTAGTTACTCAAAACGGTGTCATCGAAATTACTGATGACGGAGAGCAAGAGAAACATCTCGAAATCTGAATAACATCTCAGCATTATGCAATTATTACTATATCTTAATACGAGCGTCAATGAAAGGGGTTAATTATTATTTACATAAGTTTTAAATGATTAAATAGCTTAGATAAAAAAAGCATTTCACTGGTATGTCAATGCCACGCAAACATTGATTAATCAAGAACTTGTTATTCAGATTAATGGAACTTTTTTTCTGTGAAATGCATGTTTATTATAAAGATTTGTGTTTATTATATATTAAACTGTTAACACAATAGTGTATTAACTAAAAAAAAGGAATTTTTTTAGAATCAATGAAAAACTACTCATTCTTATTTTACTAATTACTCACTCATTAAAATAAGTCGAAAAATCATATTACAAAATTGAAAACTACGTGTTAGATAAAGATGTATGGAAAGACGACATGGCTCCAGAATCCACACAAATTTGATTCAAAGCGTATTCCATAGCATTTAAGTTTATTTGAAATGAGCAATCCCTAGAGATTCTTGCTCGTTCTTCTCAGGGAGGTCAGCGTAGTGAACGAGCAGTAGCTTAAATGTGACGATTTCAAGTGTAAATTTATTTTACCTATGGAATAAATAATCTTTGACCTTGACTTTGAGTCATTACAGACATCTAAACAATTTCATACTTTTCAAATACATTAAAATTTTTTTTTTTCACAGATCCACAACTAGCTCGTATAAAATTTGCCTCATTTTGAGTTAGTACATATCTTTTAATTATTTCTTACAATATTCTAAGGAAGGTTTTACTGACATGTAAAGAATGAAACTTTATATTCAGGACTGGCATTACCTTGAATTTTACGAATTGTAAGTTACAATATACATGTTAAAGTAAGTACTGCTATCCAGATGTGAAATTCCTACCAGAATTTTAATTTATTGGTTGAATTTGGAGTTACTTTCGCGGTACTATTACCAGAGATTACAATATGCTAAATATATTTATCTAAACTTCCAGGAAGTACTACACATTTAGAGCGGATCTTACCTCCCACTGAAATTGTGGATGTGTTGTATCAGTCAGTTGTGTAACACAACAAAAGTATAAACAAAATCTTTTGTTTTGTTATTTGGCCTTTTATTTTTAATCATTCTCAGATTTCAAAGGGAGGTATTATACGCTCTATGTGTATTATTAGAAATTGAAGTAAATATAGGAAATGAAACTATTTTTCCATATTTAAATCGCGTATATTTGTTTTTTCAAACAAACCTACGTTTCGGGCCCTTTACAACCTTGTCAACCGTGACCATGGAACCTGTAAAGGTCCTGAATTGTCGGTCCAGAAAAATAGTTTCATTTCCTATGTGTAATAATCGCAAAAACCTAAGAACTTGATTAAGTAATATTGCATATTCTGATCTCTACTCAATAGTGATAGTAATTATACTTGGGTGATTAGTGGAAATGCTATGCATTATTCTATTTAGAAATACAAAACATAATGAGTGTCTTTAAATACATTTTATTCCTAAGCATGCAGATTGCTAGACCCACTTCCACACTTCAATCATTCAACCAAATACCATGAAATTTTACACCAACATGGTCGTAACTAGACGAACATACAAACCTTATTATTCTGCGGATCATGAAATTGAGGATAAAAGTTTATAGTTCATTTCACATAGCAAGATTCCGGAGATGTTTGAGATTTGAAGTTTCTAGAGAGGTAGTGATGTAAAATCAAAATTTTTAAAACTCAATTTAAATATCTTATTGAGATGATTTGTAACGAAAGGAGAATATAGAACAGAAATACAGAAAATAATTTAAGAACAAATAATAAACAAAATAAAAGGGATGCAATGATTATATTATTAGGTTACCATAAAAATTTCACAACAAAAAAATAAATCAACAACAACAAAACAAAAAGTAAACAACAAAGCAATAAATATCGCGGAAAGCTCAAAAAATCCACATACAAGGTGTATGAATTTGTATTGATGCAGGATACACAATAACTGATTGGATTTATTGATTTTAAGGTGTAAATCTCTAGGGATAAACCATTTACATATAAAGTAATTGGGATAATTTATTTTTATCATTTTCTTTCTGTCAATATACTGTAATCTTTTCTAAAAGTACAACTGCATCAAGTATTGTCAGTTTTTGGTACATTATGACAAATTTACTATTACTTTTCGTAACCTGGTTGAGAGGTTAGAGAGAAATGGACTGTAGTAACATGATGTGCAGGAAACCAATAAGAAACATCATCTAAAAGGAGACTTGTGTTGTTTTTTGTGGCAGTATCATTTGAAACGTTTAGTGTACCTCAAATCGCTTGATCTGTGAGTGTGTCTCGTAGTTCCATATGTTGACATCGCCGTTGTACAGCGAGCACAGCAGCCATGGCTCTGTAGGATGCTGGTCGACACACTTGACGCGGTCTGACCTCGCCGTCAACTTCCTCTTGATGTCCAACCTCAACGGCTTCAGAAACATAACAATAATACTATTAACACCGCCGTATAACACGTAAACCTAACTAAATACCAAAATTACATCAAATGAACGCCGACTTAGGATACATGATGACACACCACTGACAATCAGGCAATTATCAAGCTACAACTTTCGCCATGTAAACCCGGACATTTCTAAGAACAATAGAACACTTTACAACTAAATTTACATATTTCTTACCATTTTTAATAGTTAAAACATGAAAAATCGTCACGTAGATTTAGAGCAACCGTGGAAGTTTGACAGGGTGGGTGGACGTGTCACTTTAACCTTTTTTCGTTCGGATACACTTTTGACATTTCAAAGTTTTGTATATTTTACCGGTCTTTACTTTCAAACTTCGTTCAAGTCTTCCGCAACGCTAAACGAAAATGTGTCAACATCTTAGAGGATGGAAAAAATGAAGGACATAGTGTAAGGTCAACGTGCACTAGCACTACTCATCGCGTTGACAGAGGCTACGTTTTAACGCTATGCCAGAAACGCAAAATGCCAATCGGGCAGAATGTCAGGGGGTCTACTCTCGATCTCCGTCCGAAACAATTACTGTCAAATAAGTAATATTCGGTAAAATTAAAAGACAAGTATCAAGTGAGAAACTTTATTCGCGTCACGAGTCTTTTCATTTTGTCAAGTATTGCTTATTTGGCAGTAATTGTTTCGGACGGAAATCGAGAGTAGATCCCCAGGTTAGCAGAATGCCTGGTCAGCAAAATGCCAGATTCTCGAAATGCCAGATTCTCAAAATGCCATACGTCGCTGACTAGAACAGGCCTCCCTCCTCCTGAGGCACGAACTAATGCCCAGTAGTGAACGTCATACGTCTGAAATAATGAAGCGAGGTTCTGATGTTTTACTTATTTATTAAAAACGATATGTAATTTTTCTTTAACTACTAAATATCTAACAGATCTTCCTATCATTTGCTAGTAGGTGAATATATCATAAAGAAACTTGCTAACTTTACAGCTTTAATTAGGTATTACTACGATTAGCGAGCTGTAATTGTATAGTCGTCACTATAGTATATAGTAACGATCGAGGTTCTACTGTTTACACATAAAATAGTCTTCATTCGTTATCGTCAGCTCACTGCAAACCGCATGCGGTCCGCTTGCGAATCACTTATATATTATGATTTTTGGTAACATAACATGCAACGGTTACAGTTACAGCTTGCTAGTCAGTATCCAGCTTTATACTATGGAGTACAACCGTATACTGCCGTTTAACGTATAATTCATAGAAAAAATAGGTTGCGTCTACTTTACATGGTAGATCATGATGGTATAGGATTAGAAGCACTTCAAGTTTGACCCTTAAGGCTTAAATTCAACTCTCCGGGCGCTTGCAATAAAAATGGTTCAAAGTTCAAACTGTCAAGCTTGATGTGTTCTTGCCAGATTTACTAGCGTTTTTGTTATAAGTCGCCAACACATCAAACTGCCATATCGATTTTTTCATTAAATTATTTGATTCCAAAAGCATGCATTAATGCATTGTGAACATGTTGGCTATCACCGTCAACATTCTACGAACATTTACATGACTGTGACGTTTACAAAGAAATATCAACGTGTTTGCTCATTAAATTAACCGACAAATAGCCACTAATAAAGCCAAAGATGAAGAATCGTTTAATTTGGATGTCAGTGACTTAGAAAAAGACAAAACTATATAATCAAAAGTTGTACGAAAAAGAAGGAACATTCCATAGATAGAAGTCTGGAGGAGTTATTTTTTAATTTTGCAGATGGCAACTGTCAATAAGTCTTTAAACTATGGTTGATGGCCGACCACGGTGTTTGAAGTCGATGAAATAGATAAATTGTGCACATTGCATGTTATTTTTTTTATTTCAAACTATACTTTTAATCATGTTTGGTTAACAGATTGCAGACAAACTAAACTTAAGAATTAAAGTTGAATATTGACAGTGTAGAATTACAGGTGAGTTTTGGCGTAATTGGTGTCTGTGGACGTGGGGTATTAATTAGTTTCTCATCCCACTTTTGTTTTCTCACTTTATCCTTTCGAAATCCCAGGCAGAGCTATTTAGCTGGGGATAGATGTCTGCGCATCCATCTGCGCCCGGTGCATCGAGGCTTGCCGTTTTCAATTAAAGTTAATAATTTTGTGCTTGATTATGCAAAGGTCAGTCAGATTCGTTGTAACTTGAGAGCAATGTAGCCCATTTTTTTCAATAACGATACATGTGAATCTTTAACCCCGTGATCTCTAATACGAAAAATGATCCCGCACTCGAAGCCCTTTGGGTCGCGTTATGCAGTTTTTTGGGTGCATCTCGACGAACGTGGTTCTACTTCCTGCATTTACGCAAGTAAAGCGAAACTTGTGTCGTGTGACAATAATTCGATGAATTGAATACGTGCTTTTCGTTTTCTAGTGTTTTAAACGCTGGATGGTGCTTCAAAAGCAACATCTGGATGTAAATAATAAAAAAAAATATCGTGGCCTTGATTCTGACATTGTACTTATCACTCATATAAAGGCAGTAAAATTATCTAACATGCAAGCTACTTTGCTAGCATTTACATTGGCATCAGTTTGTATGTTACCTACCTACATGTCTCCTGTTAGCCTGTGTGAAAATAAAGATATAATTGCTATTCCTTTTTGGATTGTTCAATATATGTTATCCATGTTTAGATGGATTGTGATTGAATTTAGTTTACGATAGTACCTACACACAATGATATTTATCTTACTGCTTGCAAAGTACAGTACTCCTCAATACCTTGTACCTATAATCCAGGTGGAAATACTAATAGACAAAGAACATGCGATATTCAATCATATAGTAAAAAAAATACTGTGGATACATTACCTATAACAATTGTCTTGATGTACCTCAATGGTCCTTAAAAGAGTAACTTTGTTATTTGACTCTGCAACACATTTTAAGGTTAGGCGTTCCTATTCTCATGGGTATAATTTCGCAGATTAATTTGTTCATACTTTTTCTCGTGCCATATTTTAAGGTGCTGTCCAACTAATCCAATAAGTCTTTAATTGGAGTATGTAAAAGGTGTTGTAGGGGTATTCTTAAAAATTTGTCTCTTAAATTTTTACCTTTTAAAGCATACTTTAGCTAGTAAAATGCAAACACAATTCTAGAAGTGTTGACCAAATTGCATTGGGTATATCATTGATCTGAATTTACCATTGTAACTTTTCTGTTTTTTAGATTGAAAGATTATTGCAATGTTGAGTCAAATTACTCCCTTATCTGAATATCAGAATGTCCAATAGGAATTGTCTTTACTAATAACAATATACAATATTTAAAACACTACCCTGCAAAATTTTGTTGTCTTTTTAGTTTGTTGGTGGTATGAAAGACAACATCCAGTTTATATCAAGGTATTTTAAGTTGAAGATTCAAATGTTTTCAGGAGAATTTCAGAATCATTCATTGTAGAATTGTCATAAATTAAGTAGACATTGGCAGAATTTGTAATCTATGAAATGGAAGAAAGGTCATAACCCCTAAAATATTGCAGTAAATCCAGTTTATCAGTTCTTACATTTTCTCTGTATTATATACAACATAACATTTACAAATTTGAACAGTAAGAGTTATAAAATATTAAATAATATTGATAGTGTCAACAATTATCATTATTGTGTCAATATATAAAAAAAAATACATTGTGAGTGCACTGATAAAAGTGGCTGTCTTATAGGATACACTATTGCAAATCTCTCATATAAAAAACTATAGTCAGTTCCAAGCCAATGTACCAGAAAAGTAAACAAACCGATAAGTGACCCAATCATAGATAGTTTAGCGATGGCTAACTGCACTGCCAACTACAAATCGATTAATTAATTGAATGAATTGATTTGTTTCATTGTATCTGTTGGAATAACCGGGATTTGTATAATAAAATGGGTATTGCGATTTTGCTGCTGATTACTATAAAGAAATATGTGATTCAATACTGAGTGATGATATTACATGAGATTAGAATTTTTTTCTTACATAACCTATAAAAGCAAATTTAAAAGTTCCGAAATCTTATTTTAAATACTCCTCATTCTTACACTTAGATATTCGTTCGATTGTGATTAAATTTACAATTCCACATATACTACTATTTGATTACAAAGAAATTGAATGAACCGTATGAGTTATTTCCGTACAGCCCCATGCAACCATAGACTATTCACAAATCAATATTTAAGAAATAACCTCACTCGTGAATTAACATTTTTCAAATAACATTTTAATATGTTATTCAAATGATTATTGCTGGAAAAATTGATGCGATATCAAATTGAGATCTTCAAAATATACATGAAAGTGTTACGTCCTGTGTGTTATTCCATTTATTGAGCGATTGCTAAATAATTTTGATCAACCCGGTTTGTTTACTTTTCTGCTATAAAGGATTGGAACAAAGTTTATTTCCAGGTTGCCAATTACATTAAATACTTTTTAAAGATTATAGAGGGTTGCAGATGTTTCGAAAATAGCCTTGACATTTTGACCTGCATATTACGCCACAATTTACCCAACATCTTTGCATAATTTTAAAAATTAAACATAGCATATGACAATATTCGGGCCTCGTAAACAACATAATGGAGTTTTAGTGTTGTTTTATTTTTAAAGTCTAGGAAGACTACAAATAAAAATGGCTTTAAGTAAATAAGAAAGGTTTTTCGGTTCAAGAAAAACCTAGATGATTGTTCTAGAACTAGTACCTGAAATTAATTATCCTGGGACATTTCAACCCAATGTATCAATCAATTTGTTTATTTGTCAGAATAAGGTACCATATGATCAGATCTTACTTTACATAAATCAAACTTATTCTATCATAATCGGCATGCAAAAATACATAATAACGCTCACAATCAATTATATTATATATATGACATATATGTCACTCAACTATTTACTAAAATTACTGCAATCGATCAATGAAAACTACTATTTTTTAAAATTAATGTAATTGTCAAATATTGCAAATAAAATTACAAAAGATATGAAAATAAATTCATGAATAATATAATTATCATTTACTTAATTTGTTATCATGTCAATAATTATTGTCTAAGAATTCTGTCAATGAAGATATTTCATGTATATTTTATTTATTTAAACTGCCTAATATAGCTTACATATATGAACTAATTATTATTGTGAGGGTTGCAACTTTATATACCTTTGGACTATTGAGTTTGCAGAGGTAGCAGTTGCAGTTACGTGTTTTTCAATATTTTAGCTGGTCCTAATAAACTATAAAATGTATACTTATTATATATAGTAAGTGATAAAAATGTATATTTGTTTAAATTAGGTATATTCGTTATTCACGTGTTTAACAACATTTGTGCACTTACAAAAAATTTTCAATGTGATTTTATTCTCTAGTTACTGAACTAAGTTCGATGTATGATTGTAATTCGGTGATGTGGTTCATAGTTATTTTCTCTTTTCACAGGAACATAATTTCAACCCATGCACCTTTAATTTGGAGCTCACTAAGAGTGGTGAGTATGTTGTTTTTCCATGGGTGTATAATGAAAGATATAACAACAAATAATCTATTTTCACTTGGTGTAGCACCATTTGATATAATTTATAAGGGTATAATCATTCATTGAATAAGTGGTATAACAACAAAAGACTTAATTTCAATGTACATAATAAACCTTCAGTATAACAAACATTAGATATAATGATTAGGTAACATAATGAACTAATGGTTTAAATATTACAGTATTAAATAATATGACACATTATTTCGTATCACTATTTGTAAAACAAATAGTTGAAGTGCTTAACTGAATAAAATAGTATATTTGTTTAATAAAATATTTTGATTGCAACTTTAAGCAGAATATTTAATTGCATACCAAAAAACGATACACATCTACTCATGTCAATCAAAAAGAAACTTTTCGTACTAAAAATAGGATTTCTCATCGAAATACGTATTGATTTCGATGAAATACTTATTTAGTGTTGACGCTTCGCCAGCCGCTGCCGCGACTCGCTCGCTTCGCACGCTCGGCTCACGCAACGTTATGGTCGCAGTTCTAACCTGACCTAACCTAATCAGTTTCAAGATTAGTCCTATGTGTTTTCGAACCTAATACTTCTCGCTGTGCTCGTCATTGCACCTAAAAGTACTTGGATTATATTAACAATACGTTATACTCAGTGAATGTTATATGTAAAATGTTAGATTGAAAATTGTCATGTCAAATGTCTGTATACCATAAATTAATTATATCCATTATATCCATTAATTATATCGATCAAAAATATGTCATTTATTGTTATATCTTACGAACCGCACCCGTTTTTCTATATCGCGCGTTACGAACCGCACCCGTTTTTGTATATCGCGCGTATTCTTTTTATTTAAGTTCATTGCGGTCGTCATTCAGTCCTCTGCAAACTCTTTTTCTGTCCGTATAAAACTTTATTAATTGCAATTACAATTATAACTTGCAGATATTCATACCCGTTAGAATGGAGCCATCATGTTCACGTTCAGACTGTGACATATATGAAGAAACAAACAATGTTCCCTTTGATAGCAATGCAGAGAATAAGACTGATGACGCCAGCGTAGTGGATAAAGAAGAGGACATTCAAGATAATATTAGACAACCAATTGATGACTTAGAGAGAGATGACTTTGATGAAGAGAACAGGATACTAAACCACTGTTCTGGCATGATTGTGGACGGCAAGCTAGCAGCCACTGCCCATTACTCCGGCACATTGTCCAGTGCAAACTCCAGCTTAGCTTCTAGTTCGGAAACAATATCTACCCTTAACATCATCAACGACTTCAGCATGCCAGGCTGCAGTAAACAGGAGGACTGCGATGATAGCAATACGACTATCAAGAACATGATCCGTAATAGAAAGTATTTGAAAGAAGCCTCTAGGAAAGAGCGAGTTTATAAACCAGACTTTATGCAAAAACTACTGAGCAGTGGAACACAAGAGAAAAAAGACTTTCCTAAAGGAAAACTTTATAAGGGCGACAAAATGGGCGAAAGCTCCTGTGACAATTTCATGTCTGAGAACTGCGACTTGGATGTCGCGAACGTCCCTTCAGGGAGGACAAGTTCCAATGCGTCCAGCATTGTCAGTACTAGTTCGGATAGTACTAAAGATTTCAGCGTTCCCTCCACATCGAATGCCGAGAAGCTACTAGGTCTAGACGATAGGAGCAAGAGAAATGAGCCGACTAGTTCCAAGTCAATGGTATGATAATTTTATTATCCCCTTATAAATCTGACTTCAAATATTTTATTCAATACGCCAATTGAAAATCAGTTTAAAGGTTACATTTGAATACACAAATACCTATGACTTAGTAAACATTGTTCGATTGACAAGAAGTGACGTGACGCAGTACAAAAATGTATTATACTAATTTAGTACTTTGTTATATCTGAATATATGTTTGGGTTTTTTTAGTTATGTATGTACGTTTATCTATTTGTTTGTATTGCAGAGTTTCATGCAGCAGTATTGCGACGGCGACGACGATTCTGACGACGAAGTGAACGAGGAATCATGTTGCACTTGCCTTTCTTCTCACGAGGTTTATTTTATAGCTATTTATAGACAAATCCTGATTTATTATCTTTCAAAAAAAAAAAGATTTGCCCTTGATTACTTATACATGTTTTTATTTTACAGGATGATGATGAAGATGATGAGTCCGAGCCTGATGAAAGACTTTGGGTAAGAATGTATACTTCTTTCTATAATTCAAATATAACCTGATCGCCAATGCTCTTTTCTTCTCCGTATTCTATATTCTATTAGGTCTATAGGTAGGATATAGGTCTTATTGCTCACGATTTATTCAGTCCATAAAAAGATAGAGAATATTTTCTCCTTCTCTGTTAGGTGACCAAGCTTTTATGCTGGGACAGATAAGGGTTTCTCGGTTTTCGTTACAAGTTCCAGTACAGTTTGTTACATCTGTAATATCAGCATGGAGTAAACAACTTGACCAGAGATGGAATATACCTAAATTAAAAGTACACATGCTACGTCGATTTATAATCAAGTCTTTTTAAACTCATATAGAAGGTAAATGCTGCCAATTTTGTATGATCTCTGTGTGGTGACGTTGTGGGGCATTCGAAATATTTGTTCATTTTCACAAAAAAAAAAAAATGTATTCCATTTATGTTTTGTTTATTTGTTTGTGTAACAGTTTGCGAATATCGATACAGGCATATATTTTTTCCATAAATATCGGCATTAACACCGTATCGGCTGATCAGCGTATCGTTGGAACATTAATAAATATTTATGACGTATAACAAAATAGATAAAATGTATATTTTTCTGATAATGTCTCGGCGTCATGTATATCCTGTCTATTCATTGAGTAAATAGGTATACTTTTAAAATTAGCTTTGGTGCCCTCTTTGACCCGTTGCACATGGGTTTTGCCGCACCTATGCTAAACGAATAATCATTAAATCGAAAAAGTTAGTCTGATTAGCTAGATAGGTTTTAGTTATTTTGTCTATGACATGTCGAAGATTTTAAGCTTAATATAGGTTTTTGGAATTTTTGGAAGTATACTGTGAGCTACATTCTAAAAACACTAAAGAGGGTTTTAATAGTAGTTTGTAGTTAGTTTCAATTGATGTAATTAATTTACATAATCCAGAAAAAAAGTGGGACCGCAAATTCTGCCTTGTGGCAATCCAAAGTTAATGCAAAGTTACTGACTCGGGATAGTTCCAATTTGTACCCGTTGGGTACAATCTGTGATGTAGCAGTTCGTTAGAGTACATTGGGTAACTCTTACATCCACGGTTTAGAATTTTGAGTAAGTATGGTAAAGGCGACTTTGCCAAACGCCTTAGCCAAACCTGAAATGTTACCGAATCAGTGAAACTACTTATTTCAGATATATACAAATTGATGTGTCTGCTCTTATGTGATTTTTGCACGGGTTACACGAGATATTATATAATTATACAGTATCATGTACATGTATGAGGTTAGCGTATGGACATTGCAATTGATCGGTGGCAAGCTGATTGTGCTGAAGTTGATGATTTTTATTAAATTATTTAATCACGTTTGTGACACCAATAGAAAGATATAACGTGGCTGTATATTGTTTTGGATTAAAGTCGCGTTTGTAATGTCTGGTACACGTATCGCTCCTTGTGTGTGCAATATGAGGAAGTCGTCTGATGCTGTCAAATCAGTGACCTTCGTCATTTGTCTGAATGAAAGTCGATCTGTTTTTATAACCAGCCAGTCTTCCAGTCTACCATAACGCCTGGACGCGCCATTTCCTTTCTTCAGTAAGTGTTGTATCTGATATTTTTGTCGTAACTGTTTCTAGACTTTCTACCGTTATACAGGATTTCAGTGTCTCTTCAGATTTAATAGTTAGGTTAGTATTATAATCTATGTATGTTACTGTCCAACCAAGCCTCTTTAGTTAAATAACGTAGTCAAACGCTAAAGCACAGTGACCGAACATGGTTTACTTTTAAACTCCTACAGAGAAAAAGACGCTGTGACCCACCGCCACCTCAGGTCATGAAGAAATTCTGCGCCGATTCCTCTATGGGGTCAGATGGAAATTGGTCTTCCAGCCTGGCAGGAATGGCCCACTCCTCCGGTGCCAACGTTCAGGGTCCACCTGATTTTCAACAGTGGCTTAACAGGTATAATAATAATAACTATAAAATGTGAAATAATGTTCTTTGTTACTAATATTTATACCCCATGTACACATATAACTTTGCAGGCAACGCCTTCGTGTTGTTATTAAGTCGTTTAGTGTTGCAAACGGCTTCTGACGGTGGTAAATATTTTTCACCACATGTCGGACATTTCACCAGCACTTAGGGGTGCTGGTGAAATTACAGGCACATGGGACTTGCCAACTTATGTCTCAGGGTGACGGGAAAAGTGGCAGTAGCTCTTTGGTTTTAAAGCTCTGAGTGGCACTGCAACTGTTATGGACAGGCGTGTCGCTTACCAACAGGCCCATGACTTGTTCGTTCCGTGTCTTGGTATGATAAAAATAAGTAAGAGTGGTTCAATAGGAGCACCCGATCATTATTCCGAACTGCAGTGTCTAAGGTTCAGATAGCCATTGTGACCACCGACCTTCATTAATAAATAATAAATATTAGACAATGCTCTGATCCCAAAGTAAGTAGCTAAAGCAGTTATGTTATGGAAACCGGAAACAACGACGGTACCACAAACACCCAGACCCGAGACAACATAAAAAGTTAGTTCTATACTGATCCGACCGGGGATCGAACCCGGGACCTCAGAGATGGCAAGCTACTCGGCCACGGAGGCGGTCATTAGAAGATGGCACGTGAAGAAGAAATAATAATATTAATTGCATGCGAAATTAGTTTTTTTATTTATTCTAGATTTCAATCATGGTCCAACGGTGAGAAGATTCAGGCTATTGACGGACTGATTCGTCGTTGCGATGCTAACCACGTGCGCCATATGATGAAGGCCATAGAACCTTTGTTCCAACGGGACTTCATATCTCTATTGCCAAAGGAACTAGCCCTGACTGTTCTGGGCTATTTGCAGCCCAAGGATTTGCTGCGAGCCGCACAAACTTGCCGATATTGGAGGTAAGTGTTTGTATCCTACCAGCTGGTACCCGTGACTTAATCTGCGTCACACTCCGGACACTCCATACAACGGTCGAAAGTTATTTACCTACTACCACATACAGCAAGGCGCTATCTGCACATGTAACGGGTAACCCTGCACCCGTCACTTTCTCGAGCTATTTACGTTACAAACAAAATAAACTCCTCTTTTTATCCCGTTTAGATGATGATAAACAGCTGTACACAACACAATTCACGACCATTATACATAGTAACTTACAATGATGGTATATAATAACGTACAAGTTTCGTAGTTAATAAATGAAAACTATATTCAAATATCAAAGCCGTCTTAGCGCGAACGGCTCGCTGACAGCCTTGTTGTCGTTCAATCAATTTGACCGTCAATGTACGGGGTTTGGTGCGGTATCTAAATCTAGGGAGATGCAAAGAGTGTCCATTCTTTTTTTTTCTGTCTGCGTAGCCTACTGTACTATGCTAACTAACATAAGCTAACTTTCATAGTTTTGTTCTGTCGTCGTTAGTTGAAAGAGCGCTTGTGACAAAACTCAAAATCGTGAGTTTGCTAGACCATCGATGTATAAAACTCAAAATATTGAGAAACTAAGAAAGGTTTTCGCGATTGTTACACATAAGAAATGAAACAATTTTTTTTTCGGATTTAAATATGCAGTCAAAGGAAACATCACCGTGTGTAACCGCCCCTAGATCCGAGAAAAAATAGAAAAAGATACTTTCTAAGAAATGAAATTATTTTTCTCTTGTAACCTTATCAATCTAGGAAAAAATAAAAATGGTAACACATCGGCAACTTTTTATTGGTCGCGGCAGTATAAATAACAAAATTTTTATAAATATGTCACACACACCCTTTCATCTAAGGCAGCAGTATTGATTCTCCATACAAACTTCCATACCCTATTTCATCACTTTTAAGATTTATTTTTGTAACAAACATTAGCCTAGGTCCCATCTATCTGTGTACTAAAATTAAATCCAATTCGATCCAAATTCATCTAAAAAAAACATCTTAAGTAAGCAAATTACTTAAATTAATCAAATTACTTAGTAAGTAAATTACATCCAGGTAAGCAAATTACTGTTAAAATCGTCATATTGGTTAAATTCTAGCACTCATTCGTAAGGCAGATTCCCCTGAGAAGTATGTAAATATACAATGTTTATTTCAAGCATCTTAAATTAAGAATACCTGTACGGGCTAAACGGGTCTATACCACGGATTTTTGTCGTCCAACACCGCAGAAGCTGTTTATTATCCTTTACTATAAAGGTTAATGGCTAATTTTGAATATGAACCTGAATCTGATTATAGAACCGTCATTTGTCAATATTCATTATACAGGCTGGCCCATTTACAGCGGTTCAAAAATTTTTTTTAGATACCTAATGCACATTGTGTAACGACCCAATTAAAATAAACATTAGTTCCTCGAAAATAAATACTTTAGAAGTTATTATTTTTTATATACTATTCCAATAAATTAATTGAAATTTGATATAGAAGTAATGTTACCATGTATCTACTACAACTATTGATTTTTCGCGGTACATGTTGGGTACTAATTCTTGTCGATTATTATAACATACATTCAGGATGCTGATGGGGCTGCCGCGGTCCTTCAGCGCGTCAGGGATGTTCGCGGAGACTCGTGTAGATAGCTTCTACACCACGATGCGGCAACGATGATCCCTGCCGCGCAGGTTTCGGGCCAGCCCCAACAGCATCCTGAGCATGATCGCTCATATCATGACTGTCCATACGTGAATCATTTTTCAATGATTGACGTACTTAAAAATAAGTAGTGGTGTCCTATTGTGCTTTGTCTCTTTCTTTGTTGTTTTGTGTATATGTACTAACATTGGATTTAAGTGATTTTGTAACTAACTAACATCGAGTATATAACCAGAAATAGAGGCTAAATGTTATTTAACTGTGACAACTGCGTTCCTATTGGCCAGCCCGAGTTCGCGAGTGTCGTCAACTGTTTCACTTCAAATCGACCAGTTAACTTGAGCTTTGCTATAATGGACGAAAATTGCAAAATTACATATTTAATCATTGACTTACAATTATATGGACGTCGGGTCCGCGCTAAAAAGTGTCCGAACTTATAGGGCGTTAAAATCGTATACAGAGCGTCATTCACGCTTCAGTCTTTGTTCGACTGACAGCGAAGCAAGTAAAATTAGACAGTACTGCGATGACATTACAATTTAAATTCAACGTTTTAGCTATTTCATATTCCTTTATATGTCACTACGTTTAAATAGGTTTACTTGAGACGTTTTTTTTCGTGGTTTTTGTGTTAGACCCGTCGTCCATTGATTTGTAAGTCAATGTATTTAATGTTTAATTACGGATGAAATGTGATTCCGTTTGTTTTGTAATTAGATGTTTTGCTGTTTTTCCCACACCACCGAATAGAACAGCAAGGCATTGTTAGAGATATTATCTTTATTACAATAAATACAGAATATTTTTTGGAATATACGGACACGTACACACAGGTCAGTAGTTGGCCTGTCTATATTTCTGTACAAACGGGAGTTGATATTTATAAGAGCTGTATCGCTAATGTGTTGCCAGTAATATATGGGCCCTATTTCGTCTCTATTTCTGGTTATATACTCGATGCTAACTAACTAACACCTTGGGTCCATGTTAAATAAATGAATGAATTTTATTATAAATTTGGTGGCTTTGATCTAATGATTCAGTTATATGAAAATATCAGGCTTGTTACAAAAACTATATCTTCAGAGAACACTTAGTAGAGTCCAAGCAGATAAATCAAATTACTACCTAACCAAACATGTTTTCAAAAACTTGTTGGTTTAGACAAAACGGATTGGAAAATTGATAGAATTGTTAAATGTACCAAAACCGACCTGGGGCCTTACCTTAAACTCTTATAACAGTTATAGGTTCGTAACCACAAAAAAGCGGGATGGTGATATACACTTCATGTAGCGCTGTCTCACAACGAGTCATTTTAGGTCCTAGACTAGATCGTAATACGAGTTCATGGTAAGGCCCCTGTGCAAATAAACGCTTCGTTCTCAACTGCTTCCTTGCCGAACGGTTACCATTCTGGACTGAGAAATATTTGTATATGTGTATGTATGTATGCGAGTTTAGGTGTAATTTGTGGTTGTCTATGTGTGTGTCCAATCTTAAATTTGTTGCGAGGGCAACAAAATAGAGAGGTCTATTTTCACGATTACAAAATTAGTTCGTTCAGGCAGGCTCGGTTCGACTGTGTTTTTCTATTAACCTGCCATCGCCACCTTTATATTGTTCAGGATATAGTTCTTTTTTTAAATAGTGGAATTTGTTTTCCAATTTTTAATTAAAAAATAGTTACTTGTTATGCAAGGCTGCAAAGTTGTTGTTTGACGCGAGTGTTTGTATTGAAACCTGGGGAAGCGAAAATAGATTCCTGAGCGTAGCGACGGTTTTAAGACACGAGATGCAAAATAACTTTACTGCCTAGCGAAACACACAACTTTTCACCTCACTATAGCAAGGAAAATGGTAGATGAAAGAAAAACAGTTGAACTATAAAACATTAGTTTTTATAAATATAACAAAAAGTTTATCTTGTGTCAGAACACAAGATAAACTTTTTCATATATTCAGATAAATTCAGAAATTTACACCTCATCAATTTTTATTCTTGCTTGTACTTTTATTTTGTGTGATTAAGTGATTATTGAAATGGATTTATTTCTTCGACTAATTAAAATAATGTAATAAATACAATTAGTCATCGTTGTCAATTTAATGTCAACAATAATAATAAAATATGCCATCGGATTTATATTACATGAATAAGTAACGTACGACAAATCGCGTAGTTGAACGTGTCATTATCTTTTTTTTCACCGAAAGAAAAAATTACCTGCACCACAGTCCATCGTCAAGTTCGAATTTCAAATTAGTACAGAGTACTAAAAAAACGGACCTCAGAAGTACGTGGAATTACATATAATTACCATGTTTTATTGAAATCGGTTACCGGGTTGCGCAAACCCGGATTCGTCCCCTAGTTCGCCACTAAAGTATAATAAAAATCGGTTCTCACTTCTCAAAGTATATCGAGAGAGAAAAACGCCTTGAATTGGAGAATAGCAAAATCAGCCATTAAAATAATTACTGCTTATAATAAAATTTATCATTCTTTTTCTTTTTCATTTATCTTCATGCGTGAACAGCCACCCTTAGAGGTGGATGAGTTTCTTCAAAAGTAAATGGGACCACTATGTATCGCGTAACATACACACAAAAAAAACCTCCGCCTTTTTTTGAAGTCGGTTAAACTATTTTCCACGCTAGCGTGCAAAAAACGCTTTTGCGCGCAGATTTCTAATGAGAAAGAAAGCCTGTCCGAGCTAGTGAGGTGAAAAAAATATTTTGATTAGGGCTTGCGGGCGCCCCCATTGCAGTACCGTCCGGGGCTATGGCCCCCTCTGCACGCCTCACGCTACTCCATTGATATAAAAAGTTGTTATTTTCAATTGTTTTTATTTCCATCTTTAAGTACACTTTAAATTCATTGATATAAGGCTATTTAAGTTTGTTTTGTAATACTTAATACTTTTTTTTATTATCCGCGACTATTCTACGAATCCCATTTGTAAACTGCAATTGCGTTATATGCAATACACTACAAAATACATAATACAGGTAGATTATTTGTAAAGTTAAACTGACTCCATGTTTCAGTGACACGATTTCATTTATGAAACCTGGTGACAGTTAACGTGTTTACAATTCAATGGCTTTGCTTGGTCATGTTTAGGAAATTGAACAAGTTATTACAAGTTGAGATCGAAATTACTATTATAACACTAAATTTTGTGTTATATTCCACAACGTACATTAACACGGCGTGTTTATTTTAATACTATTCTATGCAATGGGTTTTTAAAGTCGAGTGCCGTGATTAATAGCTACAAGATTTTGAGACCTAAATGCATTTCATTATTTATAATGTATATTTTGTTAACAATCCATACAATTATTAACTTCGTACAGCCTTTTCATAGACGAGAGATAAACAAACGCTATAAAACAAAAAACCAAAGAGATAGAAGTGGACAAGTGCCGCATATGTGTAACAAATATTTTTTTTATAAAGATTTATGGCCCGGTTGCAAGATCTTTAGGCCAATGTAACCTATCAGGAAGAAGGCAGTATAGCGTTTGAGTAGCGTCATAATTGATATTTTAATTAGCAGAAATGCGACGAATTTTTTTGAAACTCATAGTTCTGTTAATGATTTCATCATCATCATCATCATGATCATGGTATTTCTGCTCAGTGAAAATTTTTCAGCTCAGTGGCGAGTACCATAGACAATAGAATTTTTATACATAACTAAAAAGAGCACCTATAAGATGTGGTTTATATAAATTATAATTGACATATTGAAGTACAGGAGTAGAGAAACATGTTTTAATGAGCCTGATGATAACAGTGCCCGATAACCAATTGCCTGGTCTCAAACTAGGGAAGTGCCTGTATTATGAGTACCAGAGCAACGGAATTCACTCCGGGGCACTTCCTAGATTACCCAGACGAGAACCAATTTAGAAAAGGTAATTTCCCAAATTAGTCCTACCAGCAATCGAACCCGGGACTTCTTCAATCGATGCCCACAGTGCCTTTTGGTGTAATTGTTATTATTCCGAAGGTTTTTAAATATTGTTTATTGAATGTTAACATTTAGAGCGGCTTAGCAACAGATACACCACAGGTTCTTAACCTATTTCTAGTCATAGACCCCTCTCAAAATTTCAAAGAGCCCTTTCCTACCCGGACTGGACCCTTTCCGAAAAGATGACGAAGAAGAAGAAAGTCACGAGCACTGTATCTATTCACAACATAATGTAGACATACCAATTTTTATATTAATGCATTATGTTGGGTAGGTTTGTCATGGACCCCCGGCGGTCATTACACCCCTAGGGTTTCATGGATCACAGGTTAAGAAACCCTGATTTATACAAACGCGCGAATGCATCGATGCTGACGCTTATTTTGAATAATTTTGTATGAAAAGTCTGTATAGGTTTCTGCACATTGTTTTGTTAATTTTAAATTTTTAAAGTGAAATAAATAAATAAATTAAAAACATGCGATTGTATCGCTGCCACCGACTAAAAGTCTACACTACTACAAATGGCCTTGCTTGGTTTTGCATAACAGTGAAGGTGTTGAATTAATCACTTCGGAAAAAATATATAATAAAATTAGGTTATGCACTGATTACTATACGGCGTGCAAACACGATTAATAAAAATTTTCATGATTGAAAGAAGAAACACAAACTTACCTCGAAATTTTACAAGAAAACCGTTGTATTCAATAGGTACTTTATATATATACCAATGATTTTTTTTAAACACGTGTACTATACGATATACATTTTTAAAAGAGGTGATCTGAAATAAAGCCAGCGTCCCTGTCGCACGACCCAAGTATGGGAAAAATTTGAATTCCGGCTGAGGTAGACGATTAGCGATTTCATCGCGACTGAACCGTTGCAGACGCGCTTTTAAGAGTCGCCGTGTGTATTCGCTCTTATTAATTATAGTCTGTCTATTTTGAAGACTTTGTGAAATGACAGTTCTTTGCACAAAAGTGTTGCCCGCGTGCAAGCAGCTAGTGATTTTAGTCGATAAATATTCTATCGATTATCGACTTAATATTGGTCACGCTTTGGAATAAATAGCCGAACTTCTTTCATTTGAATCATCCTTCATTCAATTAACGAGCACAAGTTCATTGGAATCGTCAATTTTAGTCAATTCATACATACATACAGTGTATTTAGATCATGTTTATGAAAAAAAATATAAAGGGGAGACATATTTTAAAGATTTTCATTTTAATTCAATACAGATAATTAAATCTAGCTATTTTTATTTTATAAAAATATACATCCTTTAATTGAGTAATGCTAAAGTGTTGACTCAATTAAAGGATGCCACCACGTGCAACAGTCATAGACAGTTAATTATTTATACACATATAAAGTTATTCACACTTTTAATTTATGTAACATGTAGTACAATATTTTAAATACCAAAATAGAGAAAGATATTTATAAACATTACAAATAGGAAGAAAGTAAGGTGTTAACGAACATAAATAAAAATTACTTGTGCCACTATAATTATACTCCATCACAAATAAGGCATGAAGTTGCCACAGTTACAGCTTACGTAAAGTAAATTTCTATTCTTGTTAAAATGTATATGAATAAAAGTGATCTGGATACTAGTAGGCCAACTGTCAAAATATGAATAAAGACGGCAATAACCCAATTAGTAATCATTAGAACGTCGTAACATTCACAATCCAGTCACTTTCACAATCTGTCGATAAAATTATCGACAGCAACTACATAACTATTTCAAATTTTATGAAAACTGACAACCCTACAAATGTAATTTTACTCTGTCTTCAAAAATGACAGACTCTAGTACTTTGTATACACGTCAGCGGGCCGAACTGCCTTTTAAATTTACTTTCTGTGAGTTACTTTAGTCTGTATTGTATGCTTATATAAATAAATAAACAAACAAACATCATCATCAAGTCGTCTCACTGCTGGACACCAGCCTCCTAAGGAGATTAGTAGTTGGTTGCGGTTGATAAGTCCCATGTACCTTGATCACAGGTACATGGGACTTATCAACTTATGTCTCAGGGTGACGGGGGCAGTGGCAGTGACCTTTGAACGGCACTGCAACTGTTACAGATAGGCGTGACGCTTACCACCAGGCGCACGACTTGTTCGTCCCGTCACTTGGTATTGTAAAAAACATCGTATTACTGTCACGTTAATGTCGGAAATACATAATATAATAATAATAGCGCACACACTCAACATAGCCCCCCACTAGGGACACACGCGTAGACAACCACACTATAGGTGCCATGGACAATAAATGTAGGCCATACAAATATTTCTCCCGGCCCGGGAATCGAACCTGGCAAATGGAGCCTCTGCGTGGAGTCCGACATGGTAACCGTTCGGCCCAAGGAGGCAGTTAAACATATCTTCAAAAAACTCCGTAACTTGTTTTAGGTTCCTAGCGGATGACAATCTCTTGTGGAAGGAGCAATGCCGCCGCATTGGAATTACAACGTTGAAGAAGATGCCGCGTTCCTTACCACGCTGCGAGAGCCCCTGGAAGGCGGCGTACATGCGCCAGTATCTCATCGAGAACAACTGGCTCCACAAGCCGGTCAACGCGCCCATCGTGATGAGAGGCCATGATGATCACGTCATCACTTGCCTGCAGTTCTACGGCAACCGTATCCTGAGCGGTAGTGACGATACCACCTTGAAAGTGTGGTCGGCTGTCACTGGAAAGGTAATTAGTACCCCATATAATGCCAATATATTTATGTTGTGACGTCATTTCAAAGGTAGTATGAATAAATGTTATAGTCGGTGAGTCCGGCACAGCCTGTAAACGTTGTGCTGTCCATTTTTCTTTAAGAAGATTGATCTGGCTCCGCCCAACTGTTGAATAAAAAAAAAGTAGCGTCTCTTGCATTGATTAACATATTTGAATACCAGTATGTATATCTGGGCTAGATGTGATGTTAAAAACCTTTAGTTAATGCGAAGGACCTGTGCCTAGAAGTTTTGTGTGGCATTTCTACTTGGATTCTTGTGGAGAGTTTCAATCTCCTTCAACGTTTTCATTTAGTGTCTTCGTACTCTCGTCGGCCATTCCGGTGGTGTGTGGTCCTCGCAAATGGTCGGGGACTTGGTGATCAGCGGTTCCACCGACCGCACACTCCGCGTGTGGAACGCTAAGACTGGCCAGTGCCTCAAAGTCCTCACTGGTCACACGTCCACGGTCAGGTGTATGCATCTCCACCAAAATAGGTGAGGAAAATTTTTTCTGCATATTTAGCTTACAGCAAGCTGTGCGCACTCACCCTGCCTGTATTAGAAGCAAGAGCCTAGAAACAATCGTGCTTTCCTAGTTTTATTTATTTGCATCATGTCATTCAGGTTGGTACGTCCACATAATCAGAGCATTAGATCAAAAATGTTTATTGGAACAAAACAATACCGTCGGTTTAAAGGTAAAACTCATAAAAGGAGATAATTAAGATTTTGAGTTTAACTGCAAAGGGACTATAATGTTATACCTACACACTTTTTTCGAAACGCAGTCTTATAATGAAGGACACAACGCACTTATTAAACTATTTTTGTCGTAGATGTTTTTCCCAAGGAAAAAGAAATTAAAGAAAAAAAAAACGATTTTATAACGTATTAATAATTATAACAAACTAGCAAAGTAATATCACAAAAATAATTAAATATCATAAAAACTTAAAACTTAAAAATTAAAATACCTTTTTTATTATCAAAATGGGACTTAGTGAGTTTAACCTTTTAACCTACGATATATCGTCAGTGATAGCGCAACTACGTGTAACTTGCATTGGATTATGAGTTTTCGATTATTTGTTATGAGTCCGTAGACAACATAAATTAATGCTCACTGAAAGCTGTGCAAAATTGAATATCGTAACCATTGAAATAACAAAGTAATAACGTTAAATTCCTATCCTGCAAATTTTGTTTAGTGTGCAGATATGTACGTGCCTTCAATACTACATATGTGGATTTGCACTATTTCCGACGAACAAGATGTACTTAAACTAGGTAACAGACCCGCTCATATTGGAGATGTAAATTACTAACTTGCTCTCAACCATCGAGTATATAACCAGAAATAGAGGCGAAATAAGGGCCGTACATTCCAACTCACCAGTGATACTTATAAATATCAACTCTCGTTTGCATTGAACTAGTACAGCGCCAACAACTAACCTGTGTATTTGTCTCCGTATATTCCAAAAATATTCTGTATTTATTGTAGTAAAAATAATATCTCTAACAATGACGTGCTGCTCCATTGGGTGGTGTGGGGAAAAACAGCAAAACTTCTAATTACAAAACAAACGGAATCAAATTTCATCGGTAATTAATTATTAAATATGTAATTTTGCAATTTTCGTCCATTATAGCAAAGTTCAAGTTAATTGGTCGATTTGAAGTAAAACAATTGACGACACCGGTCAATTGTTTCGAATTCGGGCTGGCCAATCGGAGCGCAGTTATCACCGTAATGATATGGCAGAATAGTTTTCAAACAAAATGACATTTCGTATCTATTTCTGGTTATATACTCGATGTTCTCGACGTACTAACACCGACGTCATTTCTTCATTTCTTTTCGTGGTGATTTTTTAATTTGTATATCCTATTGTACACAATCAGGCGGTATAAAAAAGAACCACAGAGTTTGTACTGTCAAATGAACTATATTCTCGTGTGAGAAACGCGGTTATAATTTACATTATGAATATTCGTCTAACGTATTGACTTATAGTGTTAACACATTCATCATCAACCTATCATACGTCGTACTGCTGGGCAGGGGTCCCCTTTCAGACGAGGGTTTAGGTCGTAGTCCGCCACACTGGCCCAATGCGGCTTGGGGACTTACACGTTTTCCGAGGGCTGCGAACATTCTTCACCGAAGAGCTCATGATAAATTTCACATTGAATTTCGCACATAAATTCCGAGAAACTCAGAGGTGCGAGACTGGATTCGAGCCCACGACCCTCTGCTAGTGTGGACACAACTATACATATCCTAGAATAATATTTCACTCAGTACTACATAGTAACGTATTAATATTAGTTAAAAAATTATAAATTCTGTGTAATTAGGAACCGTATAACTTTTTGGTTGATGGTCCTTAAATATTTTTTGCTGGTCCGGGAATGTATGGAATGCATTATTCTTAATTAATGCTATGCCGGGCGAACAACTGGTGACTGGAATAACATACTGCTGCATAGCAAATTATTATAATCAGATCCCGAGGTCATTTCTATGTCACCCGTTGAATCTTAAGTCTCACATGACAGTAATATGGAATTCTATTCCCAACCTTGAACAATATATGCAACCGATTTTATAGTGTACATTTCTTGTGCAAAATATATTTGTCGACGGTAGGATTGACGACCTTCGTGGTGTCGTGGTTTGCACACCACTTTTTGTCGTCCCGGGTTCGATCCCCGGCCGGGTCAATGTAGCAAAACTTTTCTATAGTCTTGTCTTTTTGTAAGATGGAGTAAAATGACAATTGCAGGGTTGCCAGTTTTCATAAAATTTTAAATAGTCATGTAGTTGTTGTCGACAATTTTACCGATAGATTGTGAAAGTAGGTAAAATTGAGCCAAAAATGACTGATTTGTGTATGTTACGACGTTCTAATAATTACTAATTGCTGGAAACAGGAGATATGTTTTTTAATTTAAATTCTTTAAAGTTTTGAGTTTTTGTCACAATCGCACTTTCAGCTAACGGCGGCGACATTTTTCTAGATACTTTATGGTCATATAGAGTGTGTAGCAGTAAATTTGAATGTGATATTTATATTATAATTTACACTGGGCGTTTAGGATCATAGGAATAATACTGTTTGGGTCTGACCCACTTCATATATCATGTACATGGGCATTAAGTACGTTAAGTAGTTAACGTGTGTGGAATTAAATGGTTTAAAAAACAGTAAGTAGGCTATGTTTGAAACTTTGGGTCACGCTTTTGAAGAAGACGTCAGTACGCGAAGTTGGTACTAAGAGTTGATAGAGATTTTTAGCTGCCTCTGGCCGAACGGTTACCATTCCGTACTGCCACGCAGAGGTCCTGGGTTCGATTCCCAAGCCGGGAGAAGTATGTGTATGGCCTACATTTATTTCTCTCGCGATTTAGTTCTCTATGTGTGTGTCCATGGCACCCGCGACGCAGGGATTCCCTAGTGCAGGGGCTATGAGTGTGTTTGGTTATTATTATTACGTGTTGCGTTATAGTTATAAACCATCTTGTTGTTCTGATAAGTCATTCTAGATGTAGTCATTTACGCTTTGTTTCTGCGAATTTTTCTTTTCTTCGTTGACTGCTTTGCGATTTGTTTGGTGCACGCGCTAAAATTCCGGATTTCGGAAAGGCCCGTTTTAATAAATATATCTTAAGTCCGATATAAACTCTGCTGTTCATTCGTAAGGCAGATTCCCCTGAGAAGAATGAGAGCATGAATGAGCAAAATATGCTTAATCAACGAGCATTTGTTGATGCACTCAAGTGATTTAATAAAGATACTCTTAATCGATCGATCTTGACTTGAGATAAATTTATTAATATGGCCCAGCTTTTACTATTTTATTCTTATATCAGTGTTTTTTTAAATTCCATTCGTGTGTAATTAAAATGTTTTAAGTGTTGTGTTTTGCATGTGGATTGTTTATGTATCGATGTGTAACCTACGTACATAGTGGCTTCTGCTGTCAAAAATATTTATTCTTGTTCAACGTATAATATGCGTGTTAGTGTGTTGGAGTACTTGATGTTTTTTTTAGATCATATCACCATCCACATCAGCATCTGCTGATGATAAAGTAAAAAAATCAGCATGCGCATCTGCTGATATGTAAAACCCTGCATCACCCTGCAGTCGAGTTTTAACTTTCGAGTACTCTGATCGACTCCACTAGGATTACTACTCGGGCGCGGTTCTATTTTTACTAGGTTACTCGGATCGTTTTATGAAAACAAAATGGCGCTAACTAAGAAAAAGAGAATTGAACGTGACGCTATGAGGTTTTAAACAAGTTGTTATCTTCCATTTCACTAATAAAATTATTTGATGCACTCAGTTGGTCACGTCTTTAAAATCCATTTTCTGGTCCAAATTTTTCTCTTGCTTTTTTTCCATTTCATGATTTTGTATTTCAGCCATTAACATATCTGCTACAATTTTCATACCTCGCAGCACCCGATCATTCGTTGTCATATTGATTATCAAAATAGACATTTGATGCTACTTGAACGATGAACTGTTTAACGTGGAAACCACAATCCGAGTGGACTCCTATACGATGTAGCTCATATGAGTAAAGTAATTTAAAATTATATTTGAAGAAAAGCGAACTAAACAGAAAAAAATATAACCGAAAAATTAAAAAAAATCCATGTCAGCCTGATCCATAACAAAACTACATTTGGACCTTAGAAAAGTGTCTACTTACGCCAGTTTTAGTGAACCCGGATAGGGAGATATTATCCATTTCTTGTGCATTAATTCCTAAAAGTTTAGTTAAATATCTGACTATTCCGATGTCTGGTAATGAATGATACCCAACAAATAATTGTAATGGGAACATTTTAGTCCTTCGCTATCCATACATAGCGATTCGTCGTCAAGTAATATATGTACAGGTGAATTAATAAAGATAATGTTTAGTGGTCAACAATATCCATGTACAAGCGTACTAGGTGTATGGACCACGGTGTGTTTCCACTTATGTGCGATGAAGACACAACACTTGAATATCATAGATAAATAATCAACAGAGTGTTTGTCGACTACACTTTCTCGTTACTGTGGTTAAATATAATTTTTAAAAAGTTTTAGAAAAGTCTACGCTGCATGGTCTAAAGAGCTTTGCCTTCTTCAAGAAAAAGTACATAACGTAAGATCAATAATTTCAACAACTCGATTGTATTTTTTGCTTTTACTTAATTTCTTTTTGCTTTTAGTAATATAATAATTATAAATAGTAAGCGGAATGCCCCTGGGCCCAAGCAAAATGGAATTTATTGTGCAACTAATAGCGAAATCCCCAACTATGGATAAATGTCATTGGTAAACACTCAAAATTTCTGCCTGTCTAGCTCATTCACAGTAGGTATAGGCTGTCGCGTCTGTCCACGGTACTACGGTACCATCGAGTATATAACTTTTAAATATCAACTCTCGTTTGCACTCAAATCACAAATTAGAAAGCTGAAATAGTACAGCGCCAACAACCTGTGTGTACGTCTCCGTATATTACAAATATATTCTGTATTTATTGTAATAAAGATAATATCTCTAACAATGGGGGCTGTTCCATTCGGTGGTGTGGGAAAAACAACAAACAACAAACGGAATCACATTTCATCGGTAATTAAATATTAAATATGTAATTTCGCATTTTCGTCCATTATAGTAAAGCTCAAGTTAACTGGCGATATGAAGTGAAACAATTGACGACACCCGTCAATTGTTTCGAATTCGGGCTGGCCAATCGGAGCGCAGTTGTCACAGTAATTATTTGGCAGAATAGTTTTCAAACACATTAAATGACATTTCGTCTCTATTTCTGGTTATGTACTCGATGTACGGTACTGACACTCTTTGACAAAATACTACAATATAAACATTACACTATCACTATTGATATATGATATCACTATTGATAGTGTTTTGTTTGGAACATGTAGTTGGCGTTAATGTTCTAGTCTATAGATTGAAGTCGTTGTTGGTGGTTCTCAGAGTGGTGTCGGGATCACGCGACGCCACGCTGCGGGTGTGGTCAATCCCCGACGGGCGCTGTCTGAGGGTGTTGGTGGGCCACCTTGCAGCAGTGCGCTGCGTTCAGTACGACGGCAAAGTGGTCGTCTCCGGCGCCTACGACTACTTCGTCAAAGTATGGAATCCGGAGACCGGCGAATGCCTGCACACCCTTGCTGGTCACACTAACAGGGTCTACAGCCTCCAGGTAATGTATTTCTTTTATAACACCATCGAGTATTTGGATGTACTCGCTGGACGGGACAAACAAGTCTTGCGTCTGTTGTTTTAAAGCGCTTTATATTTCGAAAGATCTGAAGGGCAATGCCACTCCGCCCGTCATCCTGGGTCATAAGTCGACAAGTCCTTCCCTTGCCCTTCAATACCACAACGCAGGAATGCTCACATTAACGCTTGACGGTAGAAATGGTAAGGTGGCAGTACTATCCTGGATGAAACTTTCACTAGGAGCTCTACTGCTACAAAAAATAATTTCGAACCTGAAATAAAAATCCTTTTATTTAAATTTTTAAGACTTGAAAGGCCTAAAATGTAGCAATGCATTAGTCATGCGTTGAAATGAAATAAATTATAAATAATTATAATAAATTCTTATTGTTTATTATAATCGTCGCATTCTTCTCCATATGAACGGGAATCTTCACTGGAATCTTCATTAAAAATTAATTATCCATTGTTGAGTACACAAATTGTCAAACACTACATCACGAGTCCAATCAGACAATATCTTCTTTTTGGAATTTGCTCACATTCACGATAAACGATAAAATCGATTGTTATACAAAATCGTTTATATAGTGTAATAGTTTCCGATCCATTAGGACGTCACTATAGTTGTCAACAAATAAGAGGCCAAATTTGACAGCTAAATGGAGCTCAACATTCTCTATTTCAGAACAGTTAAAGTTAGTTAACGTATCGGACATATCGGAACTTACCCTAATGAGGCTTAGTTAAAATATCTTTAAGCAATTTAAATATTCTAAAACTGAGTTATGGTTTTTTTAAAATATATCTCAAAAATTATTTTGTCATATAACACATAACATAGCTAACGTACGGCTTAATGGTATTTACATAATCTCGCAAATCTACACATTTCTAGATTCTTTGTAATCAATTTGTAGAATTTTGGTTGAAACATGTGCCTCTCTGTCTCGTATACTATTGATTTGCAGTGTAATGTTCGGTTTTTGTCTTTAAATAATGAGAAATCCGAATTTGTACGCGTCCTTAATGGTACGCAAATTCAACTTTTCGTTGTCCTGTACACAAAAGTAAATTTTGCAAGGAAATAAGTTTTTTGTTTCTTCATGTTTGTATGATCATCAATTGCGATGCAACGGAAGTGACATCGGAAGCGGAAACGGATGCAGTAGCGAAATTGTAAATACTATAAAGTTCTCCATGAAATAGTTCAGAACAGGACTTTTTTGTCTTCATAATTCCTCATTGCACAGTACAAAACTAATTAAACACGCACGCCTCACCGCCACATCCATCGCAAGCGTTAAAGCTCTGATTAAAGCTTCGTTATAAAAATTTCGGAAGCAGAAAGGGAAACAGATGTGAAAAAGTGTACTGAACTTCCGCAGTTGCAGAAACAGTCTATTGAATCACTAATCAGTGTCCCATTACTGCGTGACTGTTTCAAGAAGTTGTTATCTTGTTGAGAACTACACGCGTTTTCTAAGGGTAGGTGATCAGTAAGTCCGGTTTTCAGGCGGTGCATACGTTAGTAGCGGGCAGGTAGATCACGCCGTTGTAGTCAGGAAGCCTGGGCGAAGAAGAACCCTGAAATATCCGGAATTGGGCATTTCAGAAAAAGACCGAATTATGATTACTGGCTGCAACATCCGGAAAGATTTGAGTAGGACGCACTGCTAATCGGAGTGGCTACCAAAGCATGAAATAGCGATCAATGATGTTGTTGCTTCATGCAAAATCAACTTAATTGTATGGTGAATAATTTAGAATAAAATGAAAATGAAAATTGCGTGTAATGGTGGTACCAAGCAACGAATACTAGATTGAATTTAGTTGGTAACTAAATGTTACAACTAAATAACATGATTACTATGTAAGTGACAGCTTATTATCAAAGTAAAAGACAATCAATTATTTTAAGTTTAGCATGAAGTCAGTCACAATTGAGAAATTTAACATTTGTGCAAATTTCTAGCTACAAATATTACATTAAAAACCAGATAATAATATTGTTAATACAGTACTAGCTTTAACATTGCTTAATAATTAAAACAATTACATTAGTCTAATTCTACAAATTAAATTGCATCACTCACCCGATTTGGGGATTTTACACTGATTGGTAACGCCAGGTATAGTTTGTCTGAGCTCGCACCTCCTTACCTTTCCCGTCCTAATCCGTGCTACGCCAAGCCACATAAATCGCCAGTGAAAATTAAAAATAAGTGTGACGTTACATTCAAATTGAAAAATCCGCATCCGCATCGCAAATATTTTATTAATTTAAATATCCCGCTTCTCCGCCCGGCATTGAGCCGCGTACGCAATAATTTACATGGTGGCGCTATTGGTGATCGGCCGCAAGTGAAGTGTGGGAAAGAAGACGAAGTTTACAACGTTTCGGACATAAAGGTTCGTGGTAGCACGGCTTCCATTTCCTTTTACTTGCGAGCTCATCTATCCCGCAGCTATCGAAAGTCGTTTTTAATTTTTTTTATTACAGCGTCACCACTGATCACTAACGTTATTTAAATTTCAATTACTATTTCCTCTTTAGATAGGATAAATTGGTTTCCAATTTATTATTAATTGGCACAGATTAGAACCTTTTTGTAATTTTTCGAATCATTCTAAGACGTGTGACTCGGACCGGCCAACAGAACTAAATGACCGAGCGCCGACCTTGCACTCCTCCAGCAGCGGTCAAACTCGTGATGAAGTAACTTATTCTCAAACACAAAAGCGCCTGATAAAAATACTAATGCAAACGATCTGTTTACAGTTTATTTTGATGATAGCTGTTTATAAGGACATTAAAGGAAGTTTTATTTGAAAATAGATAATAATTGTAAATACATTTAATGTAAATAGGTTATTATTGTAAATAAGTAGATTTATTATTAATCCTGTAAATTGGCGCAACGACAACGTTACAAAAGGAAAGGTTACAATAAAACAATACATTGATGTATAAAAGTACAATGAATATATAAAATACTCCCTACTAAACTTTATCCATAACACACTTTCCCCAAAACGGCCTATATATCTATATTGTTTAACAGTGTATGACGTAAAGGTGATGATTTATGAACACGTCCTCTTGTTATGAGAATTTTGACGGGAGTCACGACGGAACGAACCAACGTAAGAAAAGCTAAGGAAAAAGAAACTCGAGAACGATTCAAAGTTACAAAAGTAAGTGACCACCAAAGGGTACCAGCAAAGCAGGTGGTAAAAAGGTGGGATGACGACGAAACAGCGTCGTCACAAGTTCCCTCACTTAAACCGGTTTAGATCTGACCTAATCGATTTTGCGTGGTTCGCTTTTATTCCACAGTTCGATGGGGTGCACGTAGTGAGTGGCTCGTTGGACACCTCGATCCGCGTGTGGGACGTGGAATCCGGCCAGCTGAAGCACACGCTCACAGGTCACCAGTCCCTCACCTCGGGGATGGAACTGCATTCCAACATACTGGTGTCCGGCAACGCCGACTCGACTGTCAAGGTGTGGGACATCACTACTGGCCACTGCCTGCATACTCTGTCCGGTAAGATATATTACCTTTTTTATAGAAAAAAATATAAATAGGCGGATTCATCCCCTAGTTTGCCACCCTCAGAGGTGGAATATTTTCATCAAATTTAAATGGGCCCAATACTGAGATACTCACTTTCCAACAAAAAAAGAATCATAAAAATTGGTTCACAAATGCCAGAGTTATCGCATAACATTACATACAAAAAAAACCAGTAAAATTGAGGACCTCCTCCTTTTTGAAGTCGGTTAATAAGGTACTAACAAATTAGCATCGTTATTGCCTTGACGGAGAGGTGGTGGTGATGGCAGGTCGAAGAAATTGGAATCGCCCCATGGCGCACTGAATCAGGTAACCTGAATCGAGGGCAGCCTACTGCTGTGTCTCCCGTGATAATAAATTATTAGAGATATTATTTATTTAAATTGAAGTATACATATTAGATAACACCTCCCTCTAAAATCTCGGAATGATAAAACGAAAAGGCAAAAAATCAAAACAAAGTAGTTAAGTTATTTTTTCACTTGCATTAATACTTTTCTTCTATAAATACACTGCTGTGGTAAAGTACTTGTTTGTTTTTCATTAAACATTATATATAACAAAATATAATTCTGAACAATATATACTCAGCATACTAGTGTGATCTCTGTAAATTAGATCTTCGACACACAACAGAATGACCAATTTAAAACGTAAAGGCCCATTTAGATGGAGAGAGTTTATCGCACGCTTCGTGACGAATATAATAATGTTTACATTCAGGCAAGAACTAAAATCTCACCTACGATTATGTCATACGAGATTCGCAAGCAACTTACAGAACGGTGACAGAAGGTGGCTGGACCATTGTCTGGTTACCAGCGCGGCCTGCGCTATGATAACGAAATGTTATGTAAATAAAGATGTGCAATGGTCAGATCATTTTCCATTATTTGTGCATTGCAATTTCAATGTAGTTAAAAGTAAGTGTAACTTTCAGCACAGACTGTCAAATCGGGTACTGTGGGGTGATAGAACACCTGTGCAGGTAGAATTGTACACAAAATTGTGTAATGATATATTAAAATACGTTGATTTACCTGTAGAACTACAAAAATGTTGTGGTGATTTTTGTAGTAACCATCAACACAAAAGCTTAATTAATGAGTTATATAAACAATTTGACTCAATATTAAGTTTAGCAGCTAGCTCAGCGTATTGTGTGAAGAGACGTCGTGGTAAATGTGTTGCAGGGTGTAGTGAGCACGTATCCACCGCTCATGGTGACGCCAAGGCGAAGTTTATGAAGTGGGAATGGTACGGTTGTCCTAGGTCTGGACCAGTCTATGACGATATGGTTAAAGCCAAACGCGTTTTTAAAAGCAGGCTTTAGTGGTGTAAAAATAACCAAGACCAAATTAAAATGGATACATTTACTGTTAAGTCACCTCTGAGGCTCTCTCGATCCGTGATCGGCACGGAGTCCTGTCGTGGATCGATGCCAACCTTAATTAAAGCAAGTGACGTCCGTGTTGCTTTCACCGGGACACGACGGTCTCAGCGTTGAGCACTTAAGATATGCAGGGTTCCATGTACCCAGGATCCGTGCATTGCTGTTTAATTTGTGTTTGCGACATTCATATTTGCCATTCGAATTAATGAGAACGATTGTGGTACCAATAGCTAAGAACAGGACGGGTGACGTGTCGGACAGGTCTAACTATAGGCCAATCTCTCTTGCTACATATTGGCCAAGATATTTGACAGTGTGCTCAATTCACACTTAGAAAAGCATTTGCAACTGCACGAATCGTAGTTTGGTTTTCAGACTGTCGGGTACTATACTAATAAAATGACGTCAGTATACGCGTGTTTCTTGGACCTGTACAGTGCCTTTGATTTGGTCTCCTATGACATCCTGTGGGATAAACTTAGTGCCACGGGTATGCCTGTGGAGCTAACGAACGTTTTTAGGTATTGGTTTGTAGGTAGTGGTTTTTAGTACCGGAATCAAACGAAATTTGTAAGGTGGGCGGACAAATTTTCGGATCCGTGTAACTTGGAATGCGGGGTTAGGCAGGGTGGACTAACGTCTCCTAGATTATTCAATTTGTACGTCAATGCACAGATTGGTGAACTCAGCAGCACGCATGTGGGCTGCTTTGTTGACGGAATTTGTTTAAACAACATTAGCTGTGCCGATGACCGATGATCGGTGCATTGAGAAAACTAATTGGAGTATGTGAGTCATATGCAACATCCGATGGCTTGTTATATAATGTTAAAAAATCGGGGTTTATGATCTTTGGAGCCGCCGGTAGGAAGAATCCTACGTGTGCACTTCCTGTACTACTTAATGGTTCTCCGTTAAAAAGGGTTAGCCACTTTAAATACTTGGGACACTATGTTACCGACGACCTCAAGGATGATCTGGATATACAGCGCGAACGGAGAGCACTCTCGGTGAGAGCAAACATGCTTACCTGCAGTTTCGCCAGATGTACGGCTGCAGTTAAGATAACATTGTTTAAAGCTTACTGCACACCAATGTACGCTAGCGCTCTGTGGAAGACCTACAATCAGTGCTCTCGGAATGCTCTGTACGTGCAATACAACAACGCCTTCGGGACGCTGTTGGGGCTGTCACCTCAGCCATGCTCACTGACGTGCGCATAGATAGTTTCACGGCTGTTGTACGTAAAAAGTCGGCGTCGCTACTGAAGAGAATACGTGAAAGCCCCGATAGCCTCCTGAAGACAGTTGCTGGCAGGAATGAGTGCCCAATTATGCGGCATAATAATAATATAGTATAATAACAATATATTATTATTATTAATCACCTCGTCCATTATTTACACAGAGGAATATGTAATGAGGAGATTCTTGCTTACGAGTTTTCGACTTGTTTAAACATGGTCTCGTGTGACATTTTTTGGCTATGGATATATCAAAATGACGCAAAAATCATTTAAATTTGGAATTACTGCTAATATTAGGTTCGATTTTTGCTTCTAAGTTCCGTTCACGTGGAGACGTTCAATATACAAAGGAGAGGCGATTATCGCTCACGTGGAAGGGCGATAATCGCGAATGTTTAGACGAGGAAAGTTTTTTATATTCTTTCGATAATCTTATCTTCGAGACGAGAAGCTCTCTCCATCTAAATGCGCCTTTAATCTTTTTGACTTAAAGCGTAAATTTTCCCGTACTCAAAGAATTTTACTGACATATTATTTTGAGGTCGTCGATTTTGAATTTTTGTAACCGTTGTGTAACGTACAAATTAGACACGAGCTAAAAAACAGGTCGCATAACTACTTACTTATCTGTGTACAGGGCCGAATAAGCACCAGTCGGCAGTGACCTGCCTGCAGTCCAGCAATCGTTTTGTGATCACGTCGTCTGACGACGGCACGGTCAAACTGTGGGACGTCCGCACCGGCGAGTTCATCCGGAACTTGGTCGAACTCGCCTCGGGCGGATCCGGCGGCGTCGTGTGGCGGATCCGCGCCTCTGCCACCAAGCTCATCTGCGCAGTTGGCTCCAGGAACGGCACTGAGGAGACCAAGCTGCTTGTCCTCGACTTCGACGTTCCTGGAGCATGTCGTAAGTGCGACGAATAGCATCGACTCAACCGACGCTTGCTGCGTCGCTATGCGAATTTGTACGCGCCGTGGCAATGCTAAGCATATTTCGGATTGTCGTGCGCGCTGAATTCGTTTGTTTCGCACTAAATTGGCAAATTTTACATGGAATATAACATGTCAATTTACGCAGATCAAACGTGGGCGTGACTTTTGATTAAAAGCATTGTAATTGATGTCAATAAATCTGTGTTTTATGTAATAACGACTAAGGTCGAAATTCACGCCATTTTCAGCGTCGCAAGTCTAGTTTTACAATTGCGATTTATTTTGATATTACTGCCTTGGTCGAATATATTAGTCACCCTAATCAATCTTTTCCACAAACAAAGATGCCAAAACCATTGTTTGGATTGCTATGCGAGATACGATGAAAGAAGAATCAAAAGACAATAAAATAAACTCTAAAAATGCGACCTTCCGACATGTAAGTAAAATATTAAAGTACTTCTTTAAGTCTACTTTGTGCGTCTGTCATTAGAACAAAGTATTTGTGATGGGTGGCTTGGGGTGTTTAAACCTTGCCCTTTCCATATTTTTTTTGCTCAACGTTACGTTATCTCAGTTAAACTATATTCGGGAAGACTCACAATAATAACTGTAATTTTCTGTAGCGTCAAATATTGGCGTTTCGCTATGGTGGCTTCATAAGTACATGTGTACTCGATGGGTGGCTTATACTTATTGCCAAGACCGTAAACATCAATCAATAATATTTTGTCATTGTAGAACTAGAGGCAGTGTGTAACAGTTTTCAGATTCTAAGGAAAAATTACGGTGAATATTAATTTGAATAAATATGATTATGCGATTACTTGTGAGTAAATCGATACCTCCCACGTAAGTTGATGTAAGTGAAAATACTGTTTTTTGCTTTTTAACCTAAATATTGCATCCTTTTTTTATACCTATTATAGGTTTCATATTTAAAAATAAGAAAATCACTCTGTTTTATGTTTACTTTCAAACATGGAACCTATAATATACATAAAAATGGACATATTTAATTCTTCGGTGTTAGCGATTGTTACACATAGGAAATGAAACTATTTTTCCGGATTTCAATCCGCGTTTTAAATCCGGAGAAGTAGTTTTATATCCTAAGAATATATTTAAGTTAAAAAGCAAAAGATTGTATTTTGACTTACAAACAATTTACGTGGAAGATACCGAAATAGAGTAGAAGTGTTGAATTTTAATATGATATAATCAGTTGGTACATCGTAATTTTTTACTAGAATGTATTAAGTGAGCATGTAGGCAAAACGGCTGTACCGACAGTGGCACGCGCTTGAACGGCGGCACGACGATGGTATCCCACCGTACGACTGAAGTGCGACTCAAGTGAGCCATGGACCGATTGACTGTTTTTCAGTGTAACTCCTGTATCCGCAGTATACTCAACATAATTATTAAATACATTCAATACCATTACAAAAATACCATAATGTAGTAGTCTAATTGTAATAATAATAAATTTTTCGATAGGTAAAAATGGTGACTAAACCATCTTATTGCCAAATTTCATTATGCTTCATTATCCCAAAGAAATTTAATGGAAAATTGGATTTAAGATCTTAATTAAGTTTAAATGTTGTTTTAAGGTAACTTTAAATTTTGGTTTTTATTATTATTTATTTTTCACCTTATACATTCTTATGGTTTTGAATGTGGTCCAGTCAATGATTTAAATAATCTTTTTGTAATTGAGATCAGACAAACCGGTCTACCGTTGACGTTCAAATTTGATTATTTCTGGTGTACAACACCAGTTAACTGCCATGAAATAATCAGCGTCAGACGTAAACACCGCCGATGTGTAGGTTTATTCCCAGATTTACTGATAATTATGATAATATTAAGGTAAAATCAAACTTATCAACCAGAAAGTCAACCGATAAGAGTAACAACAAAAAACAATTTTTACCCATTGACTGAACTGCGATAACGTTCGTAATTTAATTATAATTAAATTAATTATTTCTAAATTCTACTAAACTATAGACGCCCATTTCGTTAGGTGTATTACGTTGTACTATTATTTAGACATTTGAATGACTTTAGTGTATGGTAGGGTCGCACAATTTGGGTGGAACCTTTTTTATGTCAATGACCGCAGTTAGCTAGCGGCTAGCACACTAACTGTCACCCATGGCGTTGTTGGACATATTGTTTATGAACAACAATAGTAATTTTGTACAGCTTTCTACTCAAATTGTGTAACGTTCCACAATTTTGTTGTCAATTTTTGTAATTGTGTATTGTTGTAATCCGTTATGTTATTTTAAATCTAGTTTTATTAAGTGTTGTTCCCATTTCGACTACCATCCTCACTGACAGCGTATAAAATATATATTGTTTCTCCACATGTACACACAATAGATGGGATAAAATTATTTGTTCCTCATTTAAGCAACTTAATTTTATAATAAGTGATGGTTATTTACTACAATATATACCTACAATAAATAATTGGCAGACTAAATAAACGAAGTGTATATTGAAAATGACACCCTATATGTTTTCGGACCTAAATTGCGTATATTTTTATAATTTCAGTACAGAGTACCAAAAAAACCGACCTCAAAAGTACTTGGAATTACATTTATTTGTTAAGTTTTATTGGAATCGGTTAACAAACCAACATTTCGTTTGTTTGAAAATACAAACATACGGAATTTAGATCCGAAAAAAATAGCTTCATTTTCAATGCGTAGCATCCAGAGATGGGCTAGTTTTTAAATCGGGTTAAAATCCATTAACACCCAAAATCGAGGGCAAAACTTCACACATCAAAAGCGTCTAGGGATCAAGCACGTATTTACCTATTACTGAAAATCAGATTTTTTTAAATTAATTTTTATTAACACTGATGGGTTTTTTTGGTCATTTTCGTACGTAAAAGAATAAATAAATAATAAATTTATATATATTATATTTATATATAATTTTAATTGTGAAATCAGATGTAAAAAAAACACTTCTGATGAGTGCTTTTGCAACTAAATATTTTTTGTAAATAGAGTTTTGTGTAAAGAAGGATGGCTACATCCCGTGTATTTTATGACCCAGCGTTTTTGACGACGTACATTAAAGAGACCTATTAACACATTGTGATTCATTATCAGAGCACCAGAAAAGCTGATTCAGTGCAGCCTGTACAAGCCGGGTTTATTAAGTTGATATAGGTTACGTTTACAACATCGAATATTCCCAAATCTGCTAAGCTTTGCCACATTTGATAAAACTGTAAATAAAAATAATCCGCTAAATCCGCCCAAATGGCAGAAATCTGCGACAAACGGTCACACTGTTCTCAATCTCAATGTGATATTGACATTGGCAAGAGGCCTCTAGTCAAAACGTTCGTTCCTTTTGTAACTTTCTTATCTCTCATTTAAATATTGTTTAAACATTTTTGTCACATTGTGTTTTATTTTTTACTCTATGTCATTACGGTTTCATTGATTATTTAATTAGGTATTTTATACCTTTAATGTTTTGTGTGTATTATAAAATAACCAATAATAAGGTAAACATTCAATCATGTTTTAAATGAAACTTACGTACAAGAACGTTACTTAGTCTATGGTCGAATTGAATCAATTGCGCTGTATTCTTGTAAAAATACATTGTTTTACGATTTTTTATTACAAACTTCTTAAAACATATTGGTAACTAAGCAAACTAAAACGTAATACTAACAAAGTCCATGAACGGCTCTTCGTTGGTTTTATAACTATTGTGTCAGCTTTCGCCATCTTAAGGATATTATTACAAAAGTTTATTGCTTTCTGATCAAGACGATTCGATTTGCCTTTCTATTGCATCGATTCACTTGAAAATCGATACAAAAAAATCGTTACTTCGTATGCACTTGAATCGCTCTTTATGAAAATTTCATCGTAATGTGCGTCCTTAGTGTGTGAGAATCCATAGGATGGCAAGGTGGATATTGTGTGGAGTTGCCGCTTTTTCGTTGAAAACAGATTTTTCCATCGAAACTTGTAATTTTTTTTATAATATCAACTGACTGCTCACTGCCACTACGCCTGTCACCCTGAGACATAAGTTGACAAGTCCCATGTGCATGTAATTTCATCAGCACCCTTCAAAACCGGAACGCAGTAATGCTCACATCACTGCTTGGCAGCAGAAATAGGTAAGGTGGCAGTACTTCCCTGGATAAGATAATGATATGAGAGGATGGATACATAAGTAATTGTACCAAATTCCATATTCTTCGTTTCCGCCCACGATTTTGGGCAGAAATAAGTTGAAGCCCAGGTTGATTGGGTTTTTACCCATTGCCCATCTCTGGTAGCTGTACTGCCTTCATTATCGTAACTAACGCCATCCACATTTTCCGTGAAATCAAGTTATTAACATATTATCTGGAATCAGCAAAGCGAGTTCTACAAGATCTCGTCTAATCGGTTTTTTTAATATCTTTTATAGTCTGACATTTTTGTAAACGCATTAAAATGATATTTGCCAGTTTTCATAAAATTTTAAATAGTCATGTGGATGTTGTCGACAGTTTTATCGATAGATTGTGGAAGAAGGTAAAATTTTACCAAAAATACCTGAATTTTGAATGTTACGACGTAATTGCCTTATTTGCCTTTTTCATTCTTATTTTGACAGGTGGCCTACTAGTATCGAAATAATTTTTACTCGTATACATTTTAATAAGAACAGACAGATTTAATTATCTATATCGGATTAAGACGAAAATCTTTAAAATATGTCTCCTTTTTATATTTTTAATAGACCTGTATGCATGGACTTACAAAAATTGATAATTCGATGGACCTATGCCCTGAAGTGTAACGAATAATGGGCGTTTTGTTTTCGTTTTGTTGTTGCGTAAACAACATTTAGTCGATAGTCGATGGAAGTTACCACTAGCTGTTTGCAAGTGGGCAACACTTGCACAATTAACTGTTGTTTAACTCCATCTTCAATACAGACAGACTGTAGTTTCAGTTTTATTGTTAAGGAAATGAAGCGTAATTGACATTTTTACTTGCAAAAAAGTTACCGAAGTGCATGCGTAACCCTTACATCTCTGTTGGTTTAAAAAAAAACCATTTTGATGCTGGAAGTGAAGGACTGTACAGAAGACGAAACGGGAACATGATATTATCAGGGTGTCGCTGAATCTTAATCTTTAATAACTAATCGTGAATATACGAGCATATGTATTATGTCCTTAATTTTTAAAAATTCAGTCTTCAATACCTGGTAAGATTTATTTTGTTAGTCTGTTGTATCTACCGGTATATTTGGTATACAACCAATATTATTTGATATCTCAATACTGAAGGCCAGCAATCCTAACATTTAATTTTTTTTTAATAGTTAAGATAATAAATTAATTAATATAATAATATACATTTGAGATTCCATGTATCCCAATTAATATATAACTTATCGAATACCGTGTATGAGTATTTGAAATTTCAAACTCGGAACTTAATTATACTACGTTGTAGTCGAAAAATACATTTAACTAACTTACAATACACTTACTGTAGCCGTTTATAATTTCTATGTATATACATAAATACTAATATGTGATCATTGTAAGGGCGCGCCGTATCGTCGCCCAACTTTGACCTAATTATTAATTAAACCAAGACTGAATGAGTAGATATAGTTAATATTTAAAGTTTAAATTTAGCTACTGCTGTACTACCAACCATCACACTGTCTTTGTCGAGTCTGACGTCTGTTGGTTCGTTTTAACCATGATTAACAAGTAGAGGTTATAACCCGCTCACTAGCAGACTTATTGTAAGGTATGGTGTTGTCAAAGTTTTGGAATTTTCCGATTAATAGATCTATACGTGCTTAAGAAGTTAAGGCGTCACTACACTTATTGACTTGAGCCGGCCATAAAAAATTATGTTCACGCCGTAAAAGCGAAAAAGACGTCGACGACGCGTATCTACACAGGCGAAACGCATAAAGCGCAAGCCACACCGCGAACGAAGCTAAGCTAAGAAAGTACTTAGTAAGTAGTGACTATGGATACGTGCGAGGTTGAAGGGCGGCAGGCAGAAGGGAGATATATTTTATATAGCTTAGCGGGTTCGTTGGATTAGTTTAGTCAGCTCGGTTAGATTAGTTCGCGTTGTGAACCGAATTATGAATAGATGCCACGGCAGCTTCGTTCGCGGTGTGGCCTGCGCTTAACGCCTTTTTCGCTCTTATTGACACAAAGTTTTTCTAACGGCTCGAGCCGATTCCTCTTGTGGTGACTCCCTTAGGGATTCACCAAAGTTTTAACGCGGATTCGTCTGCAATCATTAACCATACTTGTCGCATTAACCCGATTCTCCGTTAACGCGGCCGTTCGCGCGCCGTCGCGCTACTTGTTACGAAGCAAAAAACTGTCCAATAAGTAAAACTCGATCAAGTAAAAAGATTCACGATGCGAATGAAGCATCATACTTGATATTTCCTTATGCATTGGTCGAGTGTTGCTTATGTGATAGTAATTGTTCCGGACTGATGCTGGACGGAGAACAGGAGAGAGGCCCCCAGGATCAGGGAACCACTCGACCAAGTTAAAAAACAATGTCAATTTTGAAGCTTCATTCGTATCATGCCTTTTATTTTACCTATGGGTTAAAAGATTATTTGACTTCGTAGGAAGCCGATTGTTGCCGACTTGTGGCGAGTCGTGTTCGTTCGAGCCGACTTTTACCGTGTTTTACATGGTATAAATAAAATATATAAGTTGTTGATATTTGATGACTGTTTACTGGATACTGAATGAATACCGAATGAGGATTGACTGACTCTGGTTGACTGAGTGAGGTTTACATTTTGTATGAGCTACTTATACTAATTTGGTACGTGTGTTCTATGCTGATGCACAAGGCATGATTGTAACTTTGCTTGTACCAAGACGTGCCTGAATGTCGGAAGAGGGTTAGACATTCTGGCACGTCTGTGGCTGGTACACGACTTTTTGCGTTTTGCGGCGTTCCGCACGTCTTTTTCGCTCTAACAGTTGTGGACATAAAGCCTTTCTGGCCGGCTTAATGCGATGCCGCGATGATAAGTGTAGTGATGCCCTTACTCAATGGTATTTGTTAATAAATATCTCTTCGGTCGTGCACGCGTTGATTGCGCAAAGTTTACGGTTTCTCATAACTCAGTTTATCAAAAAACATTATTCGGCACTGGAATTACGGTTCAAGATCGTTATTTGCGCAATCAATCGAATACTAACGCACTTAATACCGGACTTGAGAGCTGTTTATTAATTCCGTACCGTAATACCGTATTCGCTCTAGTGACATGTTCCGTGGTAGCAGCCTTCCAGAAACAGTAGCAGATAATCTACGACATCACTATATCAGTAAAATTGAACGTTTTATTTAGTTACGGTGTAATTTAGTTTTTAAATTTGTAAATGTACATTCAGTTGCAACTCTCATGGACTTGTTACGGTGTTTTTTTTTTGTAGGGACTGTATGGGGAAATCCGAAACCATAGAAGATACAAGGACACTATCTTAGGAACTATTATGTCTTTTTGTGAGAACAATTTTTTGATCGAGCGTGAGTTGTGTTATTCATTTTGTATGAAAAAGCTTTTTATTAAATTTGACCAATTTCTATTGTCCCGATTTTTTTCTTCCCATACAATGAAATCATACTTTAAGAAACTGAGTCTATTAGCATTAAAAACAAGTCCATTTTATTCATTTTGTATGAAATATATTTGATAAAGTTTGACCAACTTCGGCTGTCCCGATTTTTTTCGTCC